CCAGCATGGTCTCGATCTCCTGACCTCATGATCTGCTCACCTCAGCCTACCAAAGTGCTGGGATTACAGGAGTGAGCCACCACGCCTGGCCCAGTAATTACCTTTTAGGGCACCTCTGGGTATAGGGATGTAGAATGTGTCCCCTTGGGTTTAGCTCTGAATAGACAAGTCCCCAGGAAGCAGTTCTTGGCCTGGTTCCTTGAAGAATGCATTTGGTGAATCCTTCAGTTATTCAGGGGTTAGACATGAGTTGCCTGTTGCCTGCCTGCCTGCCCTGCCCGGGTTTTTCCTGTACCATTTCATTTGCATCCATCTGTTAACGATGAGTAATAGCATGGAGAACAGAATGGAGAATGGCATGTAAGGTCCTGGCCACCCAGCCTCCTGGGCCCTGGCTCATGCTTCCTGGCTGAGTTCTGCCTCTGCCAGTGGTAATATTCAGCAAATTAGATCAACCAAGGCTCCTAGAAGGATGAATGACTGGTGGTGCTCGGAAGAGGACAGCTAAGGAGTGGGAGGTGGGGGTGGGGTGGGGAGGGCCCTGGAGCCACATTCTCAGACATTCCCCCAGCAACAAAGCTGCTGACCGCTGACAGTGCTGGGGCTCGTGCCAGCCTCTCCTCCATCCCCAGGCCGTATGAGAGGATTACAGCCGTGACATGGGCAAATTACCAGAACAGCAGTTGGAGGAAGGGAGGGAAGTGGCCGCAGAATCCTATTTATTGCTGGAAGGACCTTCAGTGTCCTTCTGAGCCTGTGTTTCTCTCAGACTGTAATCTGCCTGCTCCCTGAATCAGAATTGCCAAGGGCCTGGTGACAAGCAGGCACCTGCTGCAGAGCGTGGTCTGCTGGCCAGAGTTCCTGAGCGTGGCTGGGCAGGGAATTACCCATGGGCTCGATAACGGTGCAGACACTCAGGCCTGCGGAGCTGGGTTTTTTAGTTTGGGCCCTGTATTAGTCCATTTGTGTTGCTATAAAAGAATACCCAAGGCTAGGCAATTTATAAAGAAAAGAGGTTTATTTGGCTCACACTTCTGTGAGCTGTACAGGAAACATGGCGCCGGCACCTGCTTCTGGTGAAGGCCCCAGGCTGCTTCCACTCGTGGCAGAAGGTGAAGGGGAGCCCGTGTGTGTGGAGATTAAGTGGTGAGAGACGAAGTAAGAGGGAGAGGGAAGACATGCTAGGCTCTTTTTAAGAACCAGCTCTTGAGGGAAATCTCATGGGAATTTGCTGAGTAAAAACTCTCATTCCCACCAGGATGCACCAAGCCATTCATGAGGAATTCACCCCACGATCCTAACACCTCCTGCCAGGCCCACCTCTAACATGGGACCACATTCTGCCATGAGACTTGGCAGGGCCAAACAAACCATATCCACAGCAGACCTGGATACCTGTGTTTTTAATACACTGTAGAATATTCTAGTAGATGATAGCTCTGGGACCTCTGCTGCTAGAGATCTCGAACACAGGCTTGGAACACACTGATGGAGGCAGACAGCACAGAGCTTAAGGGCATGAGGCCCACAGCGTATGGACCTTAAATCTTTGGCTCCAGATTATCTGGTCCCCATGCCTGGAGCCCACACTCTGCCCTTAACCACAAGAGCTTGTTATTTAATGTCTCTGAGTCACAGTTTCTTCATCTGTAAAATGGGATTCATGAGGGTGCCTTTTTATAAAGACAATGTGGGAATAAAATAAGAATAATGTTTGTAAACACAGTGCCTGGCACCCGGATAGCTCAATCAATGGCATCTGAAGGTGAAAAGTAGGCTTCATGCCTCCTTTGTCTTTTCTCCTGGGAAACTGAGGTGAGGCCAGTCACCCCTCAGAGGAGAGCTACTGGCACCATCACTTGGAGCCATCTGTAAACTCATGGCATTTTTCTGATTCACTCTACATGGCTATTTTTTTTCTTTTGGAGACAGAGCCTCCCTCTGTCACTCAGGCTGGAGTGCAGTGGTGTGATCTCATCTCACTGCAACCTCTACCTCCTGGGTTCAAGCAATTCTCCTGCCTCCGCCTTCTGAGTGGCTGGGATTACAAGCGCCCGCTACCATGCCTGGCTAATTGTATTTTTAGTAGAGACAGGGTTTCACCATATTGTGCAGGCTGGTCTCGAGCTGCTAAGCTCAGGCAATCCGCCCGCTTTGGCCTCTCAAAGCGCTAGGATTGCAGGCGTGAGCCACCATGCCCAGCCTCTACTCTACAGGACTATCGTGCCTGAGGCAGTGGAAGGTCAGGGTAAGGTTGTGGGACTTGGAACTAGAATGTTCCCATTCAAATCCCGACTTCTTTAATACCTAGGTAATGGGCTGATCTGTGCAGCAAATCACCATGGCACACGTTTGTTTACCTGTGTAACAAACCTGTCCGGCCTGCACATGTACCCTGGAACTTAAAAGCTGATGAAACAGAAACAAAAACAAATCCCTACTCTTAGTATTCGTGTGACTTTGGATTAATTAACCTTGCTGAGCCTTTGTTTTCCCATTTGTACATTGGGGATAATATTTGTAAGGATCCTAGGATGGTGGAGGGAATGATAAAATGCTTTCTGTGCCGGGCACGGTGGCTCAAGCCTGTAATCCCAGCACTTTGGGAGGCTGAGGCGGGTGGATCACGAGGTCAAGAGATCGAGACCATCCTGGTCAACACCGTGAAACCCCGTCTCTACTAAAAATACAAAAAATTAGCTGGGCATGGTGGTGCGTGCCTGTAATCCCGGCTACCCAGGAGGCTGAGGCAGGAGAATTGCCTGAACCCAGGAGGCGGAGGTTGCGGTGAGCCAAGATCGCGCCATTGTACTCCAGCCTGGGTAACAAGAGCGAAACTCCGTCTCAAAAAAAAAAAAAAAAAAAAAAAACCCCCAAAAAAAAAAAAAAAAAAAAAAAAAAAAAAATGCTTTCTGAGCACAGTGCCAAGTCCATAGCAAAGGCTCAATAATCTACAGCCACCGTGGTGATTCTTATTTATTGTACACTACACTTTGGTTTGGTCTCTGTCTTACTTAGCTCACAGGCTTGTTCAAGCAGTGTCAGATCAATTACGCCTTGCGACCCTCCACTGGAACTTTCCCTGATTCCTCTATGGAACTTTCCACTCACTGGGTGTAACCTCGGCAGCCACAGCCTGGTGCACACAGAACCATCAGTTGGTTTGTGGTCAAGCCCTCTGTTCCCAAAGCATGTAGCCATTAGGGGAAACTGAGCCGATGAGAGAGGCCTTGGTTGGCTGGGATGAAGAGATAACTTGGGAGCAGGATGTGTGTCGCAGCTCTCTCCTCTGCCCTTTCCTGCCTGGATTAGGGAGTGGTTGTGACCCTTGCTGTTTGCCCCACTCCCATCCCCAGATGTTCAGGGAGTACCTTAGATGTCTGTCAAAGAAGGTGATCGGGTACTGCTGTGTCAGCCTGGGTGAGGCGGCCAGGAAGTCATCAGGCTTCCTGGATCTGGAATGAGGTCAGCCAGGGATGGGATCCAGGAATGGCTGCTGCCCATCACAGCCTGGCGCTGATTTTCCTGAGAGCGTCACAGGCTCTTCCCAAAGGGCAGAATCTGGGCAGGAATGGTGGGGGTTGTGGTAGAGGTGGAAGCTGAGATAAGCTAAGAGAGAGAGGTCCTGCTGATTTACAGCGGCAAAGACTGTATTGGAGATGCTGTACGTTCTGAGCTCTCTGGATGGATGAGAGCCTACCTGAGGTTTTAGAGCATACAAAATGCTGCTAGAGTCTGTGGGGCTTCCTCCTTCCCCCGACCCTTGATTACATACCTCAGCTCTCATATTTATCTCACTGTGTCAAGGATGACAAATGTCTGCTGCCTGGGCCTTCACTGATCATTTGCAGCAGTAATAGATCATAAGTCATGGTCCTCTTCCTTGCTGAGGCTAGATAAGCCCTCAGAAGACTTGGTGACATAACACTCGACACAGCTGCCTCCAGGTCATCACTGTTAGGGGTGATGAAACTTTTTGCTCTCTCTGTTACATATTAGAGTGACTTATTCCAATGTTTAGATTCAAAGCTTCACGAGGGCAGGCACTTAGTGTGTCTTGTTCACTATTCTATCTTCAGCAACTAGCATGATACCTAGTCCATAGTGAGCCCCCAGTAAATGTGTGTGATTGTCCTCCAGAGGACTGTGTTTCTTGAGGACAAGAATTATGTCTAGATTATGTCTAAGACACAGTGAGGGCTCCATGAGTTTATTCTGAGTTCAATGCTAGTATCTATAATCACAGGGAGAAAAGAGTAGTCACTCATGCTTGGTGATAGATGTCACTTCACCAAATAACTGCCGTGCTGATGTGGGGCAGTTGGGACAGGTAGGCATGTCATCACTGTTGCATCTAGCTTTGGTTTCCAAGTGCAAAGACCCCTGCCTTTCCACTTAATCATCCAGGGGTCTTGATAAGTTATCACTGCGGTTTTAGGGATGAGGAAACTGACACTTGGAGAGATTTAAGATGATCGTTGAAAAGCATGTGACAATTGAATGTTGGAACTAAATCTAGAACCTGGGTCACCTCACCTGCAGGCCCTGGTCTTTCTCTGGCCACTGTACTGCTTTTTTTGAGTCTCTAAAGTTTTGACCCATAATTTGTCATATCCCGTGTTTTGGTTTGGAGGGTTTTTTGGGATCCTGGACCTACCATCCTTTAAAAGTTTTAAGTGTCACAGGTACAGCCTTCTTAGAACTTTTTAGATTTCTAGTCCAGAGATTCTTAACCTGGAGTCTCACAATGAGCTTGGTGGTGGGGGTGGGGGGGTCCAAGAGATCCTGAACCACTTTTTATGTATATGTGCATTTCTCTGGAGAGGAAGTGTGAGTTTGCATCAGAGTCTCGCAAAGGGCTACATGGCCCCATAATTAGTTTAAGAACCAATGATCAAAACCAACTTAGCCATGTTGCGTGTGGAGAAACTAAGACCTACCCAAGGGAATTTTACAGAACCATAATCTTTGACCAGAGATTCTATTTTTCCTATCAACAGAGGACTGATTACTGTGAGCAGTAACCTCAGCTATGTCATCGAGCCCCTCCCTGACAGCGAGGTCCAACACCTAATTTACAGATCTGAACATCTCAAGCTGCCCCCGGGAAACTGTGGGATCGAGCACTCCAAGCCCACCACCAGGGACTGGGCTCTTCAGTTTACACAACAGACCAAGAAACGACCTCGCAGGGTGAGTTTTTGAGGCTCTCAGTGCAGAAACCAACTTGGGGACAAGCTTGTCCCCTCTGAGAATGCTAACTTTGAATCCAGTATTTCTAAATTGAAGGGTCATGGCTAAGAAGAAAGAAATAGCATTTTTCTCCTATTCTAAGTCAGTGTTGAGCGTGAAATACTCTCATAATAGAATAACTGCTTGTGAGGGAAAGCACCAATACCATTAAAACAGTCAGATGCTGACGTCAGAAAGCTTACAAAGTGAAAAGAAGACTGGGTGCCATGGCTTATGCCTATAATCCTAGCACTTCGGGAAGCTAAAGCAGGCGGATTGCTTGAGGCCAGGAGTTCAAGTCCAGCCTGGGTAACATGGCAAAACCTCATCTCTACTAAAACTACAAAAGTTAGCTGGGCGTGGTGGCTGGGTGCCTGTAATCCCAGCTACTCAGGAGGCTGAGGCACGAGAATCACTTGAACCCGGGAGACAGAGGTTGCAGTGAATTGAGATGGGGCCACTGTACTCCAGCCTGGGCAGCAGAGTGAGACCCTGCCTCAAAAATAAATAAAAAAGTAAAAAAAAAAAGTATGCCCTCCCTGTTGGAGCAGACACTTCACCATGTGCACACAGTTCTCATATTGATTCATACTGAAAACAGAAAGGTGTTTCAAGGTTTCAAGGTTCTGTGGGAACGTGGTGGTTAGCACACTTCCTCTCATACGCTGGCCTCTGTCCTTCCTGTGCTCACCAGCTCATCTCAGTATTTTCTGAGAATAAAGGACCAGATCCGGTGTTCCAAAGCAGCCTCCAGCAATAACCAAATGGCAGTGGAAGGTGTTATGTGAGTGACGGCCACCGCAGCCAGGAACACCTCTAGTACTCAGTGACAAAAGCATTATGGAGGTAGCTGCTGCTTACCTAGCAGCTCTGTTTCTTAGCAGTTTTTACAAAAAATGAGGCCATGTCCACTATTTCTACAGCACTGATCTGTTTCTCTTTCTTAGAGGAAAAGGGAAGATTTAAACTCCATGAAGTATGTGGAGCTTTACCTCGTGGCTGATTATGCAGAGGTAAGTGGGAGGCCATGGGTTTTGCAGAAAAACTGCTGTCTTGATCACTTCCATTCCAGGCTCCCTGCCGCTTTGGGGAAATGCTGCCCATTCATCTTTCTCCAGTTCATCTATGATTTTGACCTTAAATCTGACCAAAGACTGGGCACAGTGGCTCATGCCTGTAATCCCAGCACTTTGGGAAGCCGAGGAAGGTGGATTACGTGAGGTCAGAAGGTCGAGACCAGCCTGGCAACATGGTGAAACCCTGTCTCTACTAAAAATACAAAGTTAGCTAGGCATGGTGGCCAGTGCCTATAATTCCAGCTACATGGAAGGCTGAGGGAAGAGAATTGCTTGAACTTGGGAGGTGGAGGTTGCAGTGAGTTGAGATCGTGCCACTGTACTCCAGCCTGGGCAACAAGAGTGAAATTTCATCTCAAAGAAAAAAAAAATCTGACCAAAGGCTCTTTTTGCCATTTTAAACATCGTTGTGGGGAACTCCCTCCACTCCCCCTACGACATACACTAAGCCTATCCTGGCTTGTTACATAGAAAATTGAGATAGTTATCTGATTAACATTTCTTGAACTGGGTCTGAAGACCTTTAGGTTCTGATGTTTATTCTTAGGAGTCTATGAATTGTCTATGGAAATTCTAAAACTTTCTTTTTTTTTTTTTTTTTTTTTTGAGACGGAGTTTCGCTCTTGTTACCCAGGCTGGAGTGCAATGGCGCGATCTCGGCTCACCGCAACCTCCGCCTCCTGGGTTCAGGCAATTCTCCTGCCTCAGCCTCCTGAGTAGCTGGGATTACAGGCATGTGCCACCATGCCCAGCTAATTTTTTGTATTTTTAGTAGAGACGGGGTTTCACGGTGTTGACCAGGATGGTCTCGATCTCTTGACCTCGTGATCCACCCGCCTCGGCCTCCCAAAGTGCTGGGATTACAGGCTTGAGCCACCGCGCCCGGCCCTTTTTTTTTTTTTAACAAAGATAATAAATATATTCCCAGTCATCCGATTGAAAACTATTTTCTTGCCCGTGTGTGTGGGTCCATTTTTATAATCATATTGATGCCAAGTGATGACCTAAAGCCATGGTCCCCAAAATGTGGTCCCCAGAATGCCAGCATCAGCAGCACCTGTGAACTTGTATAAAATGCAAATTATTAGGCCCTACCCCCACCCTGCTGAATCCCAGACTGTCAGGGTGGGGTCCTGCAATCCATGTTTTAACAAGACCTCTGGGCGATTGGATTGCACAGGCCAGTTTGAGAATCACTGACCTAAAGGCATGGTAGTTCAGCCTTTAACTCCGTATTCCTCAAATCAGATAGGTTCTAGGATTTGATGAACCCTCACCTAGCTCAGCATAGATTTCATTTATTCATCAATGATTTCTTGATTTTCTGTTATGTGCCAAGCACCTGGACATACAGATCTCGAGAAGACAGACCCTCCCCTGGCATCACAGAGTTTGCAGTAACAGCACACAAACCTATGGGTCCGAAGTGTGGTGATCACTAAGATGGACCATTGGGAGGGATGAGAGAGCAGATAGTGGGGGATCCAACATGGTTTTGCGGATTCAGGAAAGCTTCTCTGATGTTGAAGCTGATACCGTAAAGAGTGAGTTTAGGCCCCAGAGCCCATATTTGCCTAAATTAGCCAGATGTTACCTCCAATTCTCACTTTGTATAACGACTCCACCATATAACTGCTAAGCGCATCTTCTGTGCATTCGATGTCATTATGAGCTGAGCGCTTGCTGTGTTCAAGCAGGGCACACGCTGGCCTCGGTGTCCCCTGAGGATAGAGCCCATCGCAACTCCAGTCTGTCTGTATCCCGTCCACATGGTTTAGCTGCCATCTCCCCAAAGACCTCATTCTAAGGCTGACTGAAGCTAGTCGCAATTCCAAAGCGTGTGTCCTAGAGGCCTGGTAGTGGGAAGAGCACTAGGCTGCAGGCCAGAAGGTCCTCGAGTGTTAGTCATTGGATGTTAGTGGCAGAAGGAGGTAGCCCTTGGGCTGTCTTGAAAGACAAGGAGGAGTTAACGGGGCAGAGGAGTGGAGGTGAAGGGCATTCCGGGCCGAGGAAACATTGTGCTCTGCTTTGAAAAGTGTTTAGCTTTTTAATTGATGCTGGTACTGGTTTTTCCAACAGCTGTTTGTGTGTGTGTGCGCGCATGTGCGTGTGTTCTATGTTTTCTGTTTCCTCCCCAAAGACTAGTGTGTGTGTAGGGTGGGGGAATAGTGTGAGGAGCAAAATCCAAAGCTGGTTTAAAAGCCAGCTGGGGCTCCACAGTTGTGGGAGGAGGTAACTGACTGGCCTGCTCTGTATGACTGCCCATAGTGGAGGACCGGTGGAAGAAAACTGAGCTCCTCTGACTCTGGGACATTCTTCCATTTAAGCTTTGCATCTGTGATCATCTAATACAATGATCTTGAGTCATTTTTTCCCAGCTACAGAATCCTTTGGTTAGGTGGAAGTTCCTGAGAACCCCAATAGTTAAGCATGTAGATCCCAGCTGCTCTAGTGTAAAGGTGGGGTGTTTCTCACCTTTGGCTTTACACTGTTCCCAGAGGAATCCCGGTGCAGAGTTTAAAACCCGTTGGGTGTGACTCTCCAGCAGCTGGAGGAGTGGGCAGCATGGTGGGAGGCAGGGATTAAGCATCTTCTATATCCTGACCTCTAGGGTCACAGGTCACCTCCAGAGAAAAAGTGTCTGCTCAAGGTGCCTCCAGGACTCTGGTGTCACCCAGAGCCATCTTTCTCTTACAAAGGAGAGTGTCTCAGCAACAGCCCTGGGTTCCCAACAGGGCTGTGATTCATGCAGCTGTGGCGGATAAGGGAATGTGCTCACTTCTCAGAGTCCTGGGCACCCCTCCGCTGAAAGCTTTGAATGATTCATGTGAGAGACTAGGGTGGGGGTGTAACAGACCAGGCCGGGTTCACAGGCTCACGAATCACCCGCTCTCCACCCCTCTCCACCTGTCTCCATCCTCTGCCGACAGAAACGTCTTCTTGACAATTAATTAATTTGAGAGGAAGGGAAGGCAGGAAAGGGGAGGGCTGCTTTACTAGGATTTATAACCTGCTGCAGAAACAGGACAGCTTTCACCTCGGGGCTCTGAACACAGAGGAGGGAGTGGAGACACAGATGGGGAGAGCGAGACACTGCTGCTGCCTAGAGAAAGAGTTGTCAGCAGCAAAAATGAGCAGACAGCTCCTCACTCCCTGGGCCTAGGTGGGAGCTTCTAGGGTGGTTCTCAGCTTATTCGTTCCCCAGGTGGAATGGAGTCCAAAGAGGAATAAAGAGCAAGGTGGGCTGTTGTCATAGGGTCGACAGGATTTACAGGCTGTAAGCACAGGCCTGTAAAGGGTCTCCATTGATGCTGGCACAGTGCAAACTGTCTGGGAAAGGACAGTGCTGCATGTGGTACTTGCTCTGTCACCCTAGAAAATGTAAGCTTGTGCCAGTCCTTTCTTCAGATCAGGGGTCTGCAACCTATACCCCATGGTCAAATCCAGCCTATTCTGTGTTTTTGCAAAGAATCTTTTACTGCAACACAACCAGGCTGTGTTGCAGTAAAAGATTGGTTTCTGTATTATCCAGGGCTGTTTCCAAGCCACCACTGCACAGTTGAGGAGTTGGAGCAGAGATTATATGGCTTAGGCCTTTGCAGAAAAGGTTTGCCGACTCCTGCTTCAGCAGAATACGTTCCTTAAATTGTGGTGGTCTCATTGGGCAGTTCTTTGAAGAAAAGGTTAACATTTCTTTGAAAGACAATGAAATCTGACCCTGATGTTCTCATAAATATTACTAAATGAATGGAAATGCTGCAACACTGTCTGCACCGAGAGACCAATTTAGAAATGGGAGGTCTCTATAATGAGAAACGTCTGGATTAACACCTTGGGAAGGTCTAAATGACAGTGTCACACTGAATCTAACTCCAGAAAACGGTGGTGACAGATTCCCTTCTGATGAGTGGCAGTTTTAAGGAAGCCTAAGAATGTCCATGAGCAATGGGAAAAAGGGAAATGGTGGATTTCTTTCCTGTATCAGGGCCGGAACACACCTCTGGCCAAACAAATATGGGTGTTTTACTTGGCTGTTCTTGTTTCTTGCTTACTCTTGCGGGACTGGGTGGAGGAAAAGGACGTGAAGGTTTGGAACTGAAGTAACATGTATAGTGGACACCCAAGGTAAAATAGAGAGGACCCAAATTCTATGTAACAATGGCAGTGTATAGGACGTGCCCTTCATTTGCAAATTGAATTGGCAATTGTAGCAGATTTTTCTCTTTACACAGTGAAGATTTCCTTCATTATTGTAGCTGAGACAGATCTGTCTTTTTGAGGCAGGAATGGTAAATAGGAGGTATTCACACTGAAATGTCCAGTTTCTGGTACCCATGGCAGATATTTCTAATGGAACACAGCTTTCTTTCCTATGCTTGGTTAGAAATGTCTGATTGTGGCCAGGCGCGGTGGCTGGGAGGCTGAGGCAGACGGATCACTTGAGGTCAGGAGTTTGAGACTAGCCTGACCAACATGATGAAACCCAGTCTGTACTAAAAATTCAAAAATTAGCTGACCATGGTGGTGCACACCTGTAATCTCAGCTACTTGGGAGGCTGTGACAGGAGAATTGCTTGAACCCAGGAGGTAGAGGTTGTGAGCCAAGATCGTGCCACTGCACTCCAGCCTGGGCGACAGAGTGAGACTCCGTCTCAAAAAGAAAAAAAGAAAAGGAAAGGAAGGAAAGAAAGAAGGAAGGAAAGAAACAAGGAGGAAAGAAAGAAAGAAAGAGAGAGGAAGGAAGGAAGGTCGGTCTGATTGAATCTGATGCAGTCTGAGAATTCCTCTCACTGTAGGAGGCACTGCCAGTGGGTCTGAGTGGGGTGCAAGATGAAGTCTATTTGCCTGTGTCATATGGTCCTCATTGTTAGCACTCATGTCATGCACATGGCCTCCCACTATGGTTATTTCTGTGCACATTTTCCCAGCAGGTGTTCTTAGACCATTTCAATTGTATACTCCTTAAGTACAGGATCTGTCACTCAGGATCTGCCACAGTTATTTCTGGCCATTTCTGTTTTAATTGAAGCTCCTCTAGGCTTAGGTCTAAGATCTCACCCTTCTTTGTGTCCTACATAGGCTAAGCACGATTCCTTGCCCACAGCAGGCATTTGGCAACAATTCGAGCATTGCTGATTGACCACATGTAGGGAAGTCTCGTGAGATCTATGTGATGGTGGCTTCATGTTGGGGTGTTGACCAAAGTGAGGATTGGATCAGTCCTCCTAAGCCCCAGTGGGAGTTTGCCAGAGGCCTTGTAGTTTGAAGGGCAGAAGAATAAGATGTGCTTCAAGGGTTAGAGGAAGGCAATTCAATAAGTATAATTATTGCATGCCTACTGTGTGTGCTGTGCTGAGCTAGTAGCTGGGGACATGAAGATGGATGTGGCAGGTCCTGCCCTTCATAAGCTCTTTCTGTGGCGGGGAAGACAATTGCACAAAAATGACTGCTCATAGAAGACAGAAGAAAATAAGAGCAAATTCAAAGATAAGTAATGGGGCACAGGAATTGTCCTGCAAGAGGCTCTGGGATCTCACATGATTCTGCTTGTTGCATTTAGTTTCAGAAGAATCGACGAGACCAGGACGCCACCAAGCACAAGCTCATTGAGATCGCCAACTACGTTGATAAGGTGAGACCAGGTGTGTACTTTGTGGGAAAGGTGCTAGGTGCCAGCACTTCCAAGGGCGCTGGAGCTGCTTTTTGCTGGATTGGCCACCCCAGCCAGCTTCTGGAAGGGAGTGAGCAATGCCATAGAGGCCCAGGGCGGTCATGACAGAGCCCTGAACTATGTATTCTTAGGCAAGTAACTCATTTTCTTTGGGTTGCAATTTTTTTGTTTTGTTTTCATCTTAGAAGGTCTGTCCTAAATCCATGATTTTGTTGTTGTTGTTATTTTTATTTTTCTTGTGGAATTTAAAAAAATGAAATCTTATGCCAATGCCTAATATAAAAGTTGGGTGAAAATAGACTGCTCTAAGCGGGAGCAGGGGTGAGGACCCAGAACACTGTCCTCCTGACCCCTTCCTCCTACCCCTGCAGGGGCTCCCAAGCGGCTTGGGGCATGGAAGAGCCCAGTTTAAGAATCCTGTAAGGTTCTTTAACGTTCCTTCCAGAAATAAGCCCAAGTATTGTCTGACTTAGGAGGGAATTGAAATGGCGGAGTGGGAAAGACACACAGCCTTAAAAGTTGAGAAGCAGGCTGCTTGAGAAGTGGGTTGCTTGGGGCTAATCTGTAAAGTCTCCATCTGTAAAACTATCCTAAAATTATGTCTTGTCTCTTAGGAAGGATGTGCAAATGGTTAGCTTTCCTAGGTTAGGACCTTTTAGAAGATGTTTTTGGGAAATAACTACATTTTTGAATTTTACTGAAACAGGCTGGTCTGGGACTTGGAAATACGTTGTGTATGTGAAAGAGGGTATTTGTTATAGTACAAAATGCAAATAGGTAACCTAGAATGACAGTAGCCTCTTGGTAGGATAGAGCATATAGTTTTTAAAAGTAGGCTTTAATGTGTTTGGGATCACAGGTCTCTTTGAGAATCTGGTAACATTTATTGAGCAATTTTAGAACACTCATAAAATTAATGAAGCTTAACCTTGGGCCTGCTAGGGATTCATGAATTCCAGGCCTAAAGGGAAAATCGTTTTTTTCTAAACACTAGAGCATATAGGAGATCACTTAAAATATTTTTTAGGGATTAATAAACAAATATATTCGTGTTCTGAAGTCATCGGATGGCGGTTTCTATGCCTATGTTTTTTTTCTGCTCTAGATGGCTCTGGAAACACAGGTCAGTGGTCAGTGACAGGTAAAAGTCAAACCCTGGCATTTCCTGGAAGGATAGACTCTAGGGACACAGTCCAGTCCTCTCTCTAGCTCCTGACTCACTCAAAAATAACATTTAAATCATCATACAACCCAAACACTCAACATCTGGGAAAACAAGGGAAGCTTATTTCCCTGGGGAGAATATGGGAGGCTGACTCTGCCTTCACCCATGTGACACATCTATTGTTTGGAGAGCTGGCAGGTGGGGAGTTGGCTGAGTATCCCCTCTGTGGGCTAGGTGATGGAACCAAGGGCGCTGGCGACAATGAAGGGAGAAGACAGAGGCACCAGCAAGCCCCAGTCCTTACTGGAAGCCCTAAGCATGGGTGGCCCGCGCATCCTGTGCAGTCTTTCCTGGCGGGTGAGGGAAGCCACGCCCACTTCTCTGGAACTTGCTGACCCAGCTACTTGAACTGAACTATTGCTGAACTAAAACTGGAATGAATTGCACTCATTTGCTGAATCATGAACCCAATCCAAAACGTTTTTCTGTAACTGAAGAAAAAGCCAAGTTTACTTTCTTTTAAAAGCTCCCTAGTAAAGCAAATTCAAATTGGAATCTGAACCTCTAATTTTCTGTAATGGTTGAACTGGCACAAAACAGAAAAATCAAAATTTCCATTGAAATAAACTGATATTTCACTGACTCTGGAGCCCATCTTGACCAGCGTTGTCTGGAGTGAGCGGATTATCTGGATGTGTAGACACCATAGCACTGAAGCAGTAAAGGGTCACATATAGTCTTTGGGTGGTGATTTGGGCCTTCATCCTGGCTCCACCATCTTCTTGCTGAGACTTTGGGCAAGTTCCTTAACTTTTCTAAGTCTCAGTGCTTAGTACATAAAAAGTGGTGGGAAAATGTTGGTGCTATGATTATTCTTTTGAGCTGGGCAGTCTCTACCAATTTCGGATTAAGGTGGTATCTCCTGCTCATGTGACCTCCCCATACGTGGGGCTTTTTATTAAGTCACTGGCTTAGTATTTGTAGGGTGAACCCATCAAAAAACCCGTTGCACCCACACCTTTCAGTGGTTTAGCTTTAAAGAAAACCTTCCTCCTGCGTACATTTGTATGAGATGAAAGATGTCAGGCCCTACAGATTAGATGCAGCTCTAGCCTTGAGGAGGTTGAGTCAGATCTTGCTTATAGAATTTTAGGATGTCTGGGTTGGACAAAACCCCGAAGATTACTAAGGAGTCTATTGCTTGCAACCTGCTTATTGTATCCCTGACAAATCCTGAGACTATCCAGGGATTGGGGAAGGGAATTTGAAGAGTAAGCATATGGATGCACTTTTACGTCATTTATACTTGTTTACTTTCAAAATGAGAGGGAGACATGTTATAATAAAGTAGCCATGTATTAATATAATTTGGTATATCCATACAAAAGAATATTGTTCAGCAACAAAGAGAAATCAGAAATGGATTCAGTCTGCAACATGGATGCATCTCAAAAACATTATGGTAAGTGAGAGAAGCCAGATACACAAAACCACATACTGTAAAACAAATGACCAGAAAAGGCAGAATAAAAACAAAAGTAGATGCATGCTTGCCTGGGGCTGAGGGTGAGAATGGGAAATGACTGTAAATAGACATGAGGGATCTTACTGATGTGATGAAAATATTTTAAAACTGGATTATGTTGATGGCTTTTTTTTTTTTTTTTTTTTTTTTGGCGACAGAGTCTCACTCTGTCACCAGGCACCAGGCTGGAGTGCAGTGGTATGCTCCTGGCTCACTGCAACCTCTGCCTCCCGGGTTCAAGCAATTCTCCTGCCTCAGCCTCCCGAGTAGCTAGGATTACAGGCATGCGCCACCACACCTGGCTAATTTTGTATTTTTAGTAGAGACGGAGTTTCTCCATGTTGGTCAGGCTGGTCTCGAACTCCCGACCACAGGTGATCCGCCCACCTTGGCCTCCAAAAGTGCTGGGATTACAGGTGTGAGCCATGGCACCTGGCCAGTGATGGCTTTAAAACTTGGTAAATTTACCAAAAAGTATTGAGTCATACACTTAAAGTAGGTGGGCATTATGGTATGCAAATTATACCTCAATGAAGCAGTTTAAAAAAATTTGTCTATAAGAGAACTTTTTAGACACCCATGAGAAAGATAAGGCCCATGTAAGGAATTGGGAGAAAAAAATTGTACCAGACAGCCTGGCCAAGGGCACTGATTACAGAAGACAGCATAGCTCAGCTCTGAGCTTACTCGTGACCAGCTTTGTTTGAAAGCTTTCTTCCTATTTTAAAATGAAATTTATGTTTCTGTCTGTTTTACCTATTGACCTAAGCCCTACTTGAAAATCATGCAGAACAACGCTCATCATTTTTCCACATGATAGACCTATTCATATCTGAAAGCAGTTTTATCTTCTGTCTCAGTCATCTCTAAGTCACAGCAGTTCTGCCACCAGAATGTTGTGCTGTCTCTCAAGATCTCATTTTCCCTTTCTAAAAAATGTCAATAACGCCAGTTCCCTCCTTCCCTTGGAGCCATGGGCAGAAGAGAAATCTGGTGTCTGTGCTCTGAGCTCTTAGGCTGAAAAGGGGCTTTTTTTTTTTTTTTCAATTTATTTTTATTTTTTAGTTTTAGCTTTTTTCTTTTTAATCTCAAGCACCAACAGAATGAAAGGAAGGGGCTTTTAAATCCCAGGTAATACTGACAGATACTGTGGTTTTCCTGTGTCCTTTCAGTTTTACCGATCCTTGAACATCCGGATTGCTCTTGTGGGCTTGGAAGTGTGGACTCATGGGAACATGTGTGAAGTTTCAGAGAATCCATACTCTACCCTCTGGTCCTTTCTTAGTTGGAGGCGCAAGCTGCTTTCCCAGAAGAAACATGACAACGCCCAGTTAATCACGTAAATAGCCTTTTTTTCCATATGTTGTGTTGTCTTTGGCTGCAAAGCCTCTGCCCACTGTGCACGTGCTCAGAGTTTGCCCCATGGTGAGTGTTGGTTGCACAAAGCCATTCTGACTCTCTGGTCCAGAGACAGGCATTTCCTAAACATGCGCTCTGTACCAAGCATACCCCAGAAAATGTTTAAAACCCTGAGTCATAATAGTCCTAAGAAGTGTTTACAGTCTAAGGGAAAATTAGACTTACCCATATGCCGCTGAGCATCTGAAATAATTGAGGATGTATTTGGGAAGTGACTGACTCTTGGTCAGGTCTTAGACTTTCTAAGAGGCTCACCTCAATCTTCTTGGCGCTTTGTTCTAGTACATGAGCTGATCTCTCAACACAGGCACAGGAGAGGGGGCTCCTGTGTGTCCTTCACTTGGTTCCCGAGGGGCTCAGGGCTGAGTGTCTGAGATAGTCAAAGTGGCAGACAGTGCAGGAACTGAGGGTTTGGTGGGAGGGAGACTTTGAGGAGGGATTGTGCTGGATTTTCATCAGCCCCAGAGAGACAGTGATGGGGGTGGCAGCAGCATGTGACAGTGCCCCAGGGTGATTATTTGGTATTTATTAGTGTTGACTTCTGAAGGTTTTTTCAGGCAGTTACAACAAAAGGCATATAGATAATAAAACCACTTTCTTCTTCTTTTTTGAGACAGAGTTTCCCTCTGTCGCCTGTGGCATGATCTCGGCTCACTGTAACCTCCACCTCCCCAGCTCAAGCAATTCTAGTGCCTCAGCCTCCTGAGTAGCTGGGATTACAGGCATGCGCCATCATGCTTGGCTAATTATTGTATTTTTAACAGAGACAGGGTTTATGCCACGTTGTCCAAGCTGGCCTTAAAGTCATGGCCTCAAGTGATCCGCCTGCCTCACCCTCCCAAAGTGCTAGAATTATAGGCATGAGCCGTGGTACCTGGCCTTAAAACCATTTTTCTTCTGTTCCCTAAATATAGCTGAGTAAATAGTCATTTAAACCTTGGCTTATCCTTTTAAAGACACTGGGAAAAATAACTGTCCCAAAAATAACTGGGCTGTGAGTAGTTACTCCATGACAGTACATTCACCCAGGAAGAGTCTTTGGTTATTAGAAGTTTTGGCCTGAACTTTGGAACATTTGGCAAATAACTAGTAGGACTTCATATCAGTTTGCATAGATTTTGCGTATTTCTTTCCAGATTGTTTATGTGAAGATAAGTCTGCCTGTAATTCAGCAAACATTTATTATAGACCCACTATGTGTTAGATTCTGTGCTAGGTTCTAGTGATCCTAAAATAGTTAAGATGGTCTTGCTGTCAGTTATATCATGCTCTAGATAAGAAGACAGACATGGAGTTAAGGACCATGTGATGTATTTCCATATAGATTCTTTAAATGCATTATATTTCTGGCATGCACAGAAACACTGGTAGTCTTTTTTTTGTTTTGTTTTTTTTCCTTCTCCCCTACCTGGGTGTGTATAACTGAAAGACAGATGTATTCAACTGGAGAAAATGCAGCTTGCTGCTGGAAGATTAGGATCCCATTGCAAAACAAAGGCAGAAACAGCTCATTCTTGCACCCAGCTGTACTTTGTGAGGCTCCTGATGGGACACAGCTGTTTCCTTGGCCCCCGATTTTGTGGGAATCAAGCATCATCAGCCCCACAGCTGCTGCCCCAGTGCCCCCACCCCTACCACCTCTGGACTCACACCACAGAGCCAGGGATCAGGCATTGGATTCTGGCAGCTGGTGGAAGTGGGCATGATTCACTTCAGCATCAGAATCTGTGCCTCCCTTCCATCAGCCTTTCCCTCTGACCTTTTCCTGTGCAGCAGGAATGCGACGCAGCTTTGCACACCCTGCCCTTTTCCTTCCAAGGAATCGGCTATGGGTATATTGTGGGGGATAAGTGACCTTTCTCTTTTTGTTTTTCTCTGGAGCCATGAGGGAGTAGGTGACAGGAAGTGAGAGGTGTGGTGAGCTGGAAGTTGTCCAGTTGGCCTGGCTACAAGGGCCTCTCTCCTTGGGAATGACCTGGGAAAGTCAGCGGGGCCAAGGAAGACCATGATGGCCACCTACTCCTAGGCATATTGGAATAGCCCTCTCAGTCCCCTCCCCAGTCACCCTCTCTCCTTGCCACCTGCAGGGGCATGTCCTTCCACGGCACCACCATCGGCCTGGCCCCCCTCATGGCCATGTGCTCCGTGTACCAGTCTGGAGGAGTCAACATGGTGAGTCTCAGACCATGTGTATGTGCTGCAGAAGGCGCTGAACAGCCTTACAAACCAGAGGTCATGTTTTGAAAAATAAGTTGATATTTGTTATTGTAGCAGAAAAAGCTTTGACATCAGGAAGGGCAATTGTTTGAAATAGAGTCATTAAGCTCTAAGAGATGGAGGTACCCAAGGGTGAATTTTCATTTACTATAGTTCATTCTGTATTTTCAAGCTCAGGAACCCTCAAGAGATTATACGAACACATCACTAGATCTCATATGTTCCAAACCAGGGGCTGGAAAATACCAAGAGACTGGAGGTTAAAGTGTTTTTATTCCAGGTCTTGCACTGTTATGTATGTCATTAAGAAAGAAGAACCCGTGTCAAAGTCATGGTTAGAAAATTACTGCCTTCTTTTGAAATTCACTCTGACTTTGTGAGACTATTTGTTTTGACTCTTCATTTCTGACCTGTGAAGTGCATTTCAAGGAAGACTTCTCTCCATCTGTCTGTCCCTCTATCCATTCTGTATTTATTGACAAAGTAACATGATGGCCAAAACCACAGGCTCTAGGGTCTGAGCCTGTTGGGTTCAAAGAACAGCTGTATGACTTTGGGTGAGTTAATGAGTGTCCTCAGCTGTAAAAAACAGATGGCTTTGCAGTTGATCATCTTAGGATAAGAATGTGAATTAAATGAAATAATGCAGGAAACACACATCCATATTTAGTAAATCTCTCTCTGCTGCTTCTTTCCTGTTGGGGCTTTTCTCCTTGATTTCTTTAGCTTTCGCATCTGACAGTTACACGTCAGACGGTGTGTAAAGTGCTGTGCCTGGAGTTTATCTGTCTTGTGTGGCTTTCAGGAAACACTAAGCCAAGTACACTGTATGTTTGAATCAAGGTGGTGTTTTCTGTGTCAATTCCCTTGTGTCTGGAGAGAGAGATACGTTAAGAAGAAGAATGGGGGGAAAATCTTCCTCTTTCATTTATTCAGAAAGCGTTTATTGGTCTGGAAGTTCATGAGTAGGTCAGTTGTGGTCTGCAGCCTTTGAGAACTCAGAAACGTGGACTTTTAAGCATTTGATTTCCTCTTACTGACAGCAGATTCAGCCTTGCAGTCAGAGGCCCACATGGCATGTCTGTACACTCAGTGGCAGTGGAATTGGTGGAGACCTATAAGACTTGGCTAAGGAAAATGCAGGGATGAGGGGCAGAGGCGGATCTGTCCCCTTGACTTTGACCTCAATTCTGTCTTCTGAGCAGGATCACTCCGAGAATGCCATTGGTGTGGCTGCTACCATGGCCCACGAGATGGGTCACAACTTTGGCATGAGCCACGATTCTGCCGATTGCTGCTCGGCCAGTGCGGCTGATGGTGGGTGCATCATGGCGGCTGCCACTGGGTGAGTCGAACAGGAAGAGGGAGGATGGGGAGGGGGCGGGTACTCCTGGGCAGTGTGACCCAGGGGTTCCTCACAGCTGGCCCCACCGAGGCTCCCTTCTACTTCTGATGGGACCAAAAAATGTGGTTTTTACAACAAAGAAATTGAGAGAAGACCAAGGCAAATGTGTGGCAAGAACTTAGGTTTTCAGCAGGAGATTTGGTGCTGGTGTGACCCTAGATTTACTTAATTTTTGTTTTAAGGTGTTGAGTTACAAAATTGGCTTGGCCATATATATCTTTTTTATTTCATAAATTTTTTTTTTTTGAGACACAGTTTCACTCTTGTTGCCCAGGCTGGAATGCAATGGCATGATCTCGGCTCACTGCACCCTCTGCCTCCTGGGTTCAAGCAATTCTCCTGCCTCAGCCTCCTGAGTAGCTGGTATTATAGGCATGCACCGCCACGCCCAGCTAATTTTGTATTTCTAATAGAGGTTGAATTTCTCCATGTTGGTCAGGCTGGTCTCAAACTCCCGACCTTAGGTGATCCACCCACCTTGGCCTCCCAAAGTGCTGGGATTACGGGTGTGAGCCATTGCACCTGGCCTAGTTCATGAATTTTTGAAGAGGATTCATTTTGATCATAGCCACAAGCCTTAATTCTTCTATCCCAAGAGTGTTGGATCAGTGCTGTTTCAGTTCCAGGCTTCACTGAAAGCTTGAGTGGAACAGAACAAAGTGAAGAAGGGAACCATCCACACACCCCACAGTGACTTCTGAGGGAGTTTGCAGCCTGCATTACCCATGAGGAACAGGGCAAGGCAGCTGCATCTCCCCGTGGTCATGAGGGCATTTTAAAACCAGAGCCTTTTTGAAGAGAATTAGAGAGTTTGTTCAAAGGACTTGTCTTCTAGCATCTGGACTCAGGTAGCACAAAGCATTGGGTTCTTCCAGGTTCTTTGGAAGGCATCATGGTAGAACCTTGTGTTCCCTCACCCCAGACCATTAGGGCCTGCTTATGATTCTTAGAGAATAATGTTTCAGTGTCTCCAAGAAACAATGCAGCTTTCTTAGAGCTCTGGTGTCCATTTTAAAAACCTTCTCATCTGTGACGTAGAAAGGATGATGTTGGCTGGGTGCAGAGGCTCATGCCTATAATTCCAGCACTTTGTGAGACCGAGGTGGGTGGATCACCTGATGTCAGGAGTTCAAGACCAGCCTGGCCAACGTGGTGAAAAACTGTCTCTACTAAAAATACAAAAATTAGCCAGGCATAGTGGTACGTGCCTGTGGTCCTAGCTACTAGGGAGGCTGAGGCAAGAGAATCACTTGAACTTGGGAATCGGACGTTGTAGTGAGCCAAGATTGTGCCACTGCACTCCAGTCTCCAGCCTGGGCAACAGAGCAAGACTCTGTCTCAAAAGAAAAAAAAAAAAAAGATTATGCTACAGCTTCATAGTTATGTACAGATCCCTAGGAGCTCACGGTTAATTAAGCCTGTCCCTTTCTTTCTAAATCTCAAATGCATATCTGAAGACAAATGATTGAGAGTTATATTGATTACTACTCCAATTCATTTTTAAGTCATTCACAAATTTGGATACATAAACAATTATTAGTAACAAATGCCTTGTAGCATACCTTCCCGCTGAAGGAAAACCTCCAGTTTTTTGAGGGTTTAGCCTTCAATTGGTTTAGAGAATTGGGAGCAGGATAACTCTCCTTTTGTAGACCCAGATGGTTGTACTTTTTGTCCTTTTTACCAAAGTGGGACCCAGGCTCTTCCATACGCCTGTGATAAAGAGCATGTGTTTGTGAGCTGGCTGGTTGAGTTTGGAGTGCCCTCTGCCTCCTTAGAACAGAGATGAGATCACTGGCCCAAAAAGAAATGAAACTTAGGATCTTGGCATTCTTTGGCCTGGTCCTCTGTTGCAAGAGAATATTCACCTGATATCAGCTTCAGGAAAAGTTTGAGTTGGCTGGTGTTTTCTTAAGCTCTAAGGCTTGGAAGACCTATTGTAACACACTCACAACCCTTTCCTTGTTCTAGCCCCCTCGTGCAATGGGCAGCAATTGCTACTCCTGATTCACAAATACTTCCTCCATGCAAAGTGAGAAAAATAAAATGCTATGTGGTTAATATCTCATCACTAAGGATGACAGAATTCTAAATTAATATATCGGTAGATGTTCTAAAAGGCCAGAATGTGTGTGTGTGAGACTATGGGAGTCTGAGCCCAGGTGGAGTCAGCCCCGTGGGTGTCAGGAGTGACACCTTCCTGACTGCTGGACACTCAGACTCCCCACTAATTCCCGCCTTGTCCTCTGCCAGGCACCCCTTTCCCAGAGTGTTCAATGGATGCAACAGGAGGGAGCTGGACAGGTATCTGCAGTCAGGCGGTGGGATGTGTCTCTCCAACATGCCAGATACCAGGACGCTGTACGGAGGCCGGAGGTGTGGGAACGGGTACCTGGAAGATGGGGAAGAGTGTGACTGTGGAGAAGAAGAGGTGAGGGGCCACAGTGATGCTGGCGGGAGGGGAAGAATTTGCATTGATTTCAAAGCTCAAGGTCAAAAGAGAACACAATTGAAAATTTCTTAGTCACAGGCATTTCCTACACACAACTATCCAAAACCGCATGCCAAATAAGATGTGGAGAGGAAGCCTTCCAGATGGATCTTTCTGCTGCCTCTTCCAGTTTGTAGTCAGCATCGTTAGTGTCCACAATCAGTTCTCCTTGTGAGCATCTGGTCTAACCAGAAACCACGATCACGTGACATGTTGACTCTCTCTTCCTCCATGGAGCTGCACATGCCTCCTTGGCCCTCCAGCTGCACGGAATTTATTCTGGAGGCCACACAGCCGGATACAGGGACTTGCACAGGGGCCTTATGAGGATGCTTAAAATAACAAGCTCGCTCTGTTTAGGCTGGAGGAGAGATGATGGAAAGGGGATGTAGGAAGTGCTGTCAAGCCTTGAAAGGGCTGCTAGGAGGAAGATGGGTCAGAACTGTTTGTGTGTAAACTCTCCTTCCTTCTGATCTTCGCAGTGAGTGTGGCGGGCACATGGCAGACCCTGGTCATTTTTAACAAATGCAGGTGGTTCTGCAGAAAGCAGACCTGGAGTGTTTCATCTCTGTGTTTTGAAGGCTGAAAATATGTATGTTAATACATGCGTAACAATTTGGGGTAGATAACAAGTAACAGTAAATTAAAGGGGTGAGACTGAAGTTGTGTTTATATGGAAAAAGACAGTTTGATTTTATGGCCTCTTCTGTTTTGTTTTGTTTGAAATGGAGTCTTGCTCTGTCACCCAAGCTGGAGTGCAGTGACATGATCTCTGCTTATTGCAACTTCCACCTCCAGGGTTCAAGTGATTCTCCTGCCTCAGTCTCCCAAGTAGCTGGGAATACAGGTGTGTGCCACCACACCTGGTTTTTTTTTTTTTATTTTTATTTTTTGGTATATTTAGTAGAGACAGGATTTTGCTACATTGGCCAGGCTGGTCTCGAATTCCTGACCTCAGACGATCCACCCACCCCAGCCTCCTAAAGTGCTGTGATTGCAGGCGTGAGCCACCGCACCCAGCCTATGACCTTCTCTATGATGTGATTTTCTGTTTTTAATGCCAGCATGTAACTTTCAGAATAAAACAAGAACTAGTCAAGGATGCCATCCCACCACTGTGAGCCCAGAGAGATCAACCCAGACCCATCAGAAAGGAGGGAGTGGTCTGAGGATGCAGGGCCCAGTGGGTTGAGGAATGGGCTGAGAGTGGATTTGGCCAGCTGGCTTATGTTCTGAGCAGCTGCTCATTCAACAGATACACTGAGTGTGGGCTACTGTGTCTGGTCCTAAGGTTAGGATGAATGGCAAAAATGACATAGTTCCTGTCCTTTGAGAGCTGATAGTCTAGTGGGGGGAACACAGATTGAAATAATTGCAAAAGAATATATGTACGGTCCATGGCAAATGCTAGGAAGACAAATTACACAGCACTTTGAACATATATAATGTGAGGGGGAACCTCCTTGCTTGGGTGGGAGGTGACGTGGAACCCCTATCTAAAGGCTGTGTTAGGAGTTGGCAAGGCATGCAGGAGGGAAGGCAGGTGGAAAGGGAGCCTCTGCCTTGGTGGGAAGAAATATGGTACTTTAGGAAGGCAGGAACATGGAGCCCAGCATGGTGGGTGATTAATGGGAGGAAAGTGTTGTGTTTCTTCCCTTGGGGGATACAGGTGGACAGGTGTCTGTGGTCGGGATGGGATGTGGCTCTCCATAGGCTAGAGCTCCGGACTGTTATGGGTATGATGAGGCTGATAAGCCTGAGGCGGGCCCCAGGTAGACCTGACTTGAATTCGGCAGGCATATCCCTTGGTCAGCCACTGGGCTTGCCTGAGCTGCAGCATCCCCATCTGTGGAATGGGGACAAGGCTGCCTCATAGGGCTGTGGTGGAGAGATGTGTGGAACCCCACACACTCATCACTGGCTGATGGATTGGCCTGTGACTACTGTAAGAGTGTGATGAGGACACTCAGGGTCACTGGAGCACCTCATCATCTTTTGAAAATCTCAGGCTGGGGAGAAGGAAGTAAGAGAGGAGTGCAAAGAAACCTTAGAGACCCTCGGTTCCAGAAAGGTCCAGGCCAGGAAGGGCTTAGGAAGGGAAGCAAGATCGAGAAGGAAGTCTGAGGAAACAGGCCCAGGAGTTGACATAAACTATCCAGAGAGGCTGTCCCAGCAGGCCCTTGCACCGCCAGCCCCTTTTTACGAGATAAGAAAGGCGAGGAGGGTTGGGGCAGGAGGGCGCCCATGAAAGACAAAGTGGATGCTCTACTGGGGATGAGAAAGAACAATCATAACATTTCCATATACTGTGCTAAAAAGTCAGTTTTAGAAGAATACATGGTTACAGGGAGAAATATGCATGTCATATTAAGTTAAAAACACAGATGCTGGAGAGGATGTGGAGAAATAGGAACACTTTTACACTGTTGGTAGGAGTGTAAATTAGTGCAACCATTGTGGAAGACAGTGTGGTGATTCTTCAAGGACCTAGAAATAAAATTGCATTTTACCCAGCAATCCCATTACTGGGTATATACCCAAAGGATTATAAGTCATTCTATTGTAAAGACACATGCACATGTATGTTCACTGAGAGACTGTTTACAATAGCAAAGACCTGGAACCTACCCAAATGCCCATCAAAAATAGACTGGACAAAGAAAATGTGGCACATATACGCCATGGAATACTATGCAGCCATAAAAAAGGATGAGTTCATGTCCTTTGTAGAGACATGGATGAATCTGGAAACCATCATTCTCAGGAAACTGACACAAGAACAGAAAACCAAACACCGCACACATGTTGTCATTCATAGGTGGGTGTTGAACAATGAGAACAAATGGACACAGGGAGGGGAACATCACACATTGGGGTCTGTTGTGGGGTGGGGGGCTAGGGGAGGGACAGCAGAGTGTGAAAAGCGGGGGAGGGATAACATTGGGAGAAATGCCTGATGTAGCGACGGGGGGATGGAGGCAGCAAACCACCATGGCATGTGTGTACCTATGCAACAATCCTGCAAGATCTGCACATGTACCCTAGAACTTAAAGTGCAATTAAAAACAAAACAAAACACGGTAGATGCTATGATTTTATAAAATAAATATAAATACATATGCATGTGTGTAGAAAATGCCTGGGAAAATATTCACACTCAAAATGTAGCTGTGTTTTAGGCGGGCTTGGTGGCATGCGCCTGTGATCCCAGCTGCTTGGGAGTCTGAGGCACGAGAATCACTTGAAATCAGGAGGAGAAGGTTGCAGACTGTCTCAAAAAAAAAAAAACAAACAAAAAAACGTAGCTGTGTCCAAATCATGTTACTAATGATTGTGCATATATATGGTTCTTGTGATAAATGCACACTAGCTTAGTGACAAAGCTGTCACATGATTTTTGAGATCAGGAGTTTCTAGGCCAGATGCGGTAGCTGGTGCCTATAATCCCAGAACTTTGGGAGGCCGAGGCAGGCGGATCACTTGAGGTCAGGAGTTCAAAACCCAGTCTCTACCAAAAATACAAAAATTAGCCAGGCATGGTGGCATGCACCTCTGGTTCCAGTTACTTGGGAGCCTGAGGCAGGAGAATCGCTTGAACCCAGGAGGCAGAGATTGCAGTGAGCTGAGATACTGTACCACTGCCCTTCAGCCTGGGTGACAGCAAGACTCTGTCTCAAAAAAAAAAAAGAGTTGCTAGAGAGCTGGGGTTCCCAGGCTATAGAGGTAGGGGTTGGGGAAAGTGTTGGGGGTGGTAAAGGCCCTCCCCCACTCACACCCACCCCACTGTCTCCCCAGGAATGTAACAACCCCTGCTGCAATGCCTCTAATTGCACCCTGAGGCCAGGGGCAGAGTGTGCCCACGGCTCCTGCTGCCACCAGTGTAAGGTAAGTGGCCCCTCCTTCCTCAGCGCCGTGGGCCCTGATCTGACAGCAGGACTACAGGACTGCTCTGCTGGGGATTTCCTGCATCCTGGGGGAGTGATGGCAAGAGTTTCAGAAACATGGAGCAGGAAAGATGCCTTGAATAAAATTTACTATTCATATACTGGGCCGCACTGAATTCAGATCATCCCAGAGGCGTCTGGTGGCTCTTTCGGAACGGTATTTTTAAAATTATTATTATTTAAAGATGTATCCAGAGAGAGTGGTCTTGATTTTACTGAGTTCATAAACAATAATAATTATCATAATCTGTATTGGCATTAATGGACCTCTTAGTAGATGCCAGGCACTGTGCTGAGAATTTTATGTACGTTATCTCATTTGTTCCTCACAAAAACCCCATAAAATATATGTTATCATCCTCATTTTAAGATGCGGAAACTAGCACTTATCAAGGATAAGAGGTTTATTGGGAATCAGGCAGTCAGGAAGGGCCTGAATCCAGCTTTCCCTGACTCTGGAGCCCACTTCTGTAATATTGACGTGGGAGATAAATCGTCCATTACCGCTAGTGTTACTGTAGAACCACAATCTCGCATCCACAGTTCTGAAATTCAGAGAGTTCTAAAAGCCAAAAAAAAATGTAAACATATTTGGTGACAAAACTTGACCTGGATTGACATGAGACAAATTATAATCTTTTAAAAAAATCACTCCTAAAGTGAATATTTATATTGCATTGCAGAAATATTAATATGTTTGATGAGAAGGTGTTATCCCTGGCCTTGCTGAGGGGTTATATAATGTACATATGTAGTTATATATGCAGACATATGTAATTATCCATATATATATACACATGTGTAATTATATATGTACATCTATATACATATGGACCTATGTATTATGGTGCCTGCTTTCTAAATCTGAAAAGCCTGAACCCCATCTGGCCCCAACATTTTAGGCAGGAACTGTGGGCCCGGGCATCTGGCCAGCACTTGCTGCGTGCTCATCATGTGCCAGATTACCATTCACATACTTTGTTCTAACTCATGTTTAATCACCCCATGAGTAGGTCACCATCCTGAGTTGTGGGTGAGTGAGCACACACAGGTTACACAGCAGATGTCCAAGGCCCCGCTGATGGTTAAGGAGCTGGGATTTGTGCCCAGGCAGGCTGGCTCTGAGGCGGGTCCTCTTTGCCCCCACCTGGCCCTGGGTGGCAGAGGTGTGTCCTCCAGCTTCCTCCTGCATATACCTTCCCTGCCCACACTTGCAACTGGGCATCCACTCAGCAAGCTGCTCAGCTGGCTTCTCAGCCTGAGCCTGGTCAGTGGAGAAGGCTGTCTGCCTTCTTTCCCGGGAGGAGCCTGTGAGTGGGGAGGAGTTGCCCAGGAGCAGGGGAGGGGGCTCTATTCTCAGTCACAGGTTTCCTAGCCTGGCTGTCAGAATTTGCACAGCATCTGGTCTGGCCATGCTTCCCCCAGGGAGGCTGTGCTGGGTCAAGTTCTTCCACTCTTGGCCCAAGTCTTAAGCATAAGCCTGGAGTGGACCCCTTCATTGCACCCAAGAATTTCAGTTTGAGCCTCAGAAAGGATTCCCTGGTGTCCGAGACTTTGACTTTGACTATGTGATTTGGGGCAACCTATTAACTAAGCATAGGTTCTTTATTTGGAAAATGGGGCGAGTATTAGTAACACTGATTACTCAGGGAGGCTCTAAAACTCTTCACCCTTTGCCCCAGGTGTGCTGCTGAGCAAGTTATTGATCTGCAATGTGGGGCAAATAGCAGTATGTATCTCATGGAAGTTGTGAGGATCCCACAAGATATGTGTATGTCACATACTCAGCCCAGTGCCCGGCTCCATAGTGGGGATGGATTATTGCTGAGGTGCTTTGTAAACTCACAGATGTTCTGTGAATGCTAGGGGTGTGTGTGTGTGTGTGTGTGTGTGTGTGTGCGTGTGTGTGTGTGTGTTAGCGGGTCTGGCTCCTCTGCCACTTATAAGACTTTGGATACATAGTCTAACCTCTTTAAGCCTACATATGTTATCATCTGTAGGAGGGATAATTATATTACATAGGACTGTCATGAAAACTAAATGAAGTCATATTTGTACTGGGCACTTCAGTGGGAGCTGCATAAAAGCAGCTATTACTAAAGCATGTGGTGAACTGTAAATTGTGCACGTATTATTTCTTGCCTCTTTCTTAAGACTGCTATGAAGAGAAAGTGAGATAGCATTTGTGAAAACACCTTGAAATTCTGCCAGTATTCCTGTGGGAAGGCTGAAGATGGTTTGGGCTAATGAGGTCATATCAAAAGTGCTGGTGATGGAAATCATGGTGATGGAAACTTCTGTTCCGTGGGAGTGATGCTTATAGCCCTTGGGCAGCAGGGTTGAGGGCAGGGAGGAGACTGACTGTGTGTTTCCTCTCGTTCCTTGGCTCAGCTGCTGGCTCCTGGGACCCTGTGCCGTGAGCAAGCCCGGCAGTGTGACCTCCCGGAGTTCTGCACGGGCAAGTCTCCCCACTGCCCTACCAACTTCTACCAGATGGATGGTACCCCCTGTGAGGGTGGCCAGGCCTACTGCTACAACGGCATGTGCCTCACCTACCAGGAGCAGTGCCAACAGCTGTGGGGACCCGGTAAGGCTCTCCTGGGGAACATGGCTCTCCCCAGCTCACCGTCTCCCAGCCAGCCTCCCCTGCCCTCAGAGTAGCTTGGAATCTTGGCTTCAGGATGGCACCTCTAGATACTACCTGTTTTATCCCCTTGACTCAGGTTAGATGTTCAGAGAGAAGCAGAGGACAGTGTTTCTTCCCAGTCCCTTGATGCTTTTCATTCTCAGAGTGGACAGATGAATGAGTAATCCAAAAGAAAATGAGCAGAGGATGGAGACAGAGAAGCAAATGCAAATGGCCCTTAAGCTATGAAAAGAGCTTTAACCTCGGTCATATTAATTGAAAGCAAATTATAATTATTATGAGGTGAGATTTTTCATATATCAGATTGTAAAGACTGAGAGTTAATATAATAATAATATAACAACAATAATAATGAGACAGCGTTGTGGAGGGTGTGAAGAAACAGGTAGGTATGACCCCTATGAAAAGCAATTTGGAGGTATACTTAGAATTGAAGCTAGCACTTACTTGTACATGTGTTGAGGATATATTTACAAAGTTGTTTACTGCACCATGTCAGCTATGCCAACAACAAACTATGTGTCATTCAGTAGGGACCGATTAGCTCTGGTACATTCATATAATGCAATGCTTTGTGGCTAAACAAGGAGGCAGCCCTATATTTACTGAATAAAATTATCTTCCACAAAAAATTAAGTGAAAATGCAAGGTGTAGAACAGTGGATAAAACGTGCTTCCAAGCCAGATGTGATGGCTTGCACCTGTAATCCCAGCTACTCAGGAGGCTGAGTGGGGAGGATGGCTTGAGCCCAGGAGTTTGAGGCTGCAGTGAGCCACCGTACTGAAGGACTCCAGTCTGGGTGACAGAGTGAGATAGCATCTCTTTTTNTTTTTTAAAAAAAAAAAAAAAAAAAAAGGCTGGGCACAGTGGCTCATGCCTGTAATGCCAGTAAGTACTTGGGAGGCCGAGGCTGGTGGATCACCTGAGGTCAGAAGTTCAAGACCAGCCTGGCCAACATGGAATAACCCTGTAACTACCAAAAATACAAAAATTAGCCAGGCGTGGTAGTGGATACCTATAATCCCAACTACTTGGGAGGCGAAGACAGGAGAATCCCTTGATATGCTTCCATTCTTTATTAGATAGATTATCTCTAGAAGATACACACAGAATTATACCTAGGAGATATAGAAATTAGACATATAAGTATCTTTAGAAAATACACTGTTATAAGTACTATTTCTCCAGGATGTAGAGAAGTAGGAACTAGATGACTACAAGAAAAATTTTCCAAGACATACTTATGTCTTTAAAATATTGTGCATGTATGACCTATTTTTTAAAATCTTGAAATGAGACATGGCTTCTACATCAACCCTCCCCACACACAGATATAACTCCTCAATAAGGTAGGAAGAGTTTATATAAAACATTCTTCTCTGAAAGGGTCTTGATGAGAATGTGGGGATGGAGTAACCTGACAGGGAACAGGAAGAAGAGGCTCAGTGTTCCCTCCCAGAAAATACTCTTCACTTCACGATTTTACCAAAGGTACCTTTGCCCTTGGGGGCTTCTGACAGGCAAGTGTACTGATAGATGTTGCTTACCCACCCAGGAGCCCGGCCTGCCCCTGACCTCTGCTTCGAGAAGGTGAATGTGGCCGGAGACACCTTTGGAAACTGTGGAAAGGACATGAATGGTGAACACAGGAAGTGCAACATGAGGTGATGACCAAAGGGTGGGCCCTATGAAATAAAGGTGACAAAGCCACTTCTGCTCTGTACTCACTGCTGCCCAGCTCAGCAGCATGGCTGGCCCCAGAGCTGCACCTTTGTGTAAATCAGTTGAAGTCAGTCATCTATTCTTGGCTCCCTGTTTGACAATGCACCATTCAGCTCTAAGGAAATCAGAGGAGGGTGTGGGTGGCACTGCTTCCTAGAAAGCTGATCAGGCTTCTTCTGGGGACCATTTTATAGTAGGGCACGGAATCAGTCCTTTTGGGTCATTTCTGCAAAATGCTAATCATGCCCTAATTTGAATAGGTCCTCATTCATTAATTTACTCATTCATTCATTCATCATTCAGTCCAACTAACCATCCACCCATCTGGTACTCATCTATCCATCCACCCATCCATCCATTCATTCATACATCACCCACTCACCCACTGATGATCCATCCATCCACCACCCACCACCTACTCATTCACTCATCCATCCATCCATCCATCACCTGCTCACCCACTGATCCCTCCATCCATCCATCCGTCCATCACTCACTCACCCACTGATCCGTCCATCCATCTACCACCCACTGATCCATCCCCCCATCCATCCACCACCCACTCACCCACTGATCTATCCATCCATCCACCACCCACTCACCCACTGATCCATCTATTCATCCACCACCCACTCACCCACTGATCCATCCCCCCATCCATCCACCATCCACTCACCCACTGATCCATCTATTCATCCACCACCCACTCACCCACTGATCCATCCTTCCATCCATCCATCCATTACCCACTGGTCCATCCATTCATCTACCACCTACTCACCCACTGATCCATCCATTCATCCACCACCCACTCATCCACTTATCCATCCATTCATCCACCACCCATTCACCCACTGATCCATCCTTCCATCCACTAATCCATCCTCCCATCCATCCACCACCCACTCACCCACTGTTCTATCCATCCATCTACCACCCACTCATCCACTGATCCATCCATCCATCCACCACCCACTCATCCACTGATCCATCCATCCATCCACCACCCACTCANACCACCCACTCATCCACTGATCCATCCATCCATCCACCACCCACTCATCCACTGATCCATCCATCCATCCACCACCCACTCACCCAATGATCCATCCATCCATCCACCATTCACTCACCCACTGATCTCTCCATCCATCCATCCATCCATCCTTCCAGCTCCCACTCACCCACTGATCCATCCATCTGTCCATTCATCCATCCATCCATCCATCTATCCATCTGTTCATCTACTGTCTGTTGAAGATTTACCATGTGTAAGATACTGTGCTGAGTGCATGGTACTTTTAATTAACAATACAGTATAATAATGGGAATGTGAAGAGAGCCACCCACCCCATCTTAGTGTGTCAGAATGGTTTCCCAAAGGAAAGTGTACCTACACTGAGATCTGGAACAGTTACCTAGGTGAACAGGGTGGAAAGTGGTACTGGTTCATGGGCGTGATCCAGGAAGAGAGATGAGTAGAGAAAAACTGGCAGTTGAAAGAACTGAGACCAGTTCGATACAGTTAAAGTATAATGTTGGGGTGCAAAGGAGAAGGTCTGCTGTTTGATACAGTTACAGTATAATGTTGGGGTGCAAAGGAGAAGGTCCGCTGAGAAATTAGCCCGGATAGTTTAGCATGGACCAGATCATGAAAAGCCTCAAATGCATGGCTAGGGGAGTTTGGACTTTAGCTTGAGAGCAGTGTGGAAATTCGACTCCTCTGGGGCAAGACTGGAGGCAGGCAAATCAGTCTTCTGCAGACCAGGTAAGGGGGTGGGGCAGTATGAATTAAGGTAGATATATAGGAGGGAAGATTGGTAGGGTTTGAAAATGACTGGAGCCCAGGAGTGAGGGAGAATGGGATTTGGAGATGACCCCAGATTTCTGGCTGGAGCTCCTGGGTGGATGGCAGGGTAAGGAGCAAAAAGGGACAGATTGCTCAGCTTAGGGGGCTGTTCTTGGAGTAGAGGACATTTCCAGGCCAGTTCTCTGGTCTAGATTTGCTCAAGTCAGGGAGCCTGTTCTCTTCCCTTGGTGTCAGTCTACATGGATTCTCTCCGTGTGGGCCTCCAAAGCATATAACTGCCCTCAACCTTTGCCCCACCCCACGCAAGCCTGCTGTCTTGGTCAAGAAAGACTGAAGCTCTGGTGCCCCAGCTCTTCCCCTGCCTCTGATTCCACCTCCTTCCCTCCCTGTCTCTCGTGCGCAGAGATGCAAAGTGTGGGAAGATCCAGTGTCAGAGCTCCGAGGCCCGGCCCCTGGAGTCCAACGCGGTGCCCATCGACACCACTATCATCATGAATGGGAGGCAGATCCAGTGCCGGGGCACCCACGTCTACCGAGGTCCTGAGGAGGAAAGTGACATGCTGGACCCAGGCCTGGTGATGACCGGAACCAAGTGCGGCTACAACCATGTGAGTCCCTTCCCCCAGCTCACCCAGGAGCAGGCTGCAGAGCAGGGATCGAGAAGTGAGCACTGCGGAAAGGACGCCTGGGCTCAGATGCCACCTCCCCAACCTCAGAGCCTCAGTGGCTCCCTTCATGACGCTTTATAGTGACAGCAGGCACCCACCACAGAGAACTGTCAGAAGGATGAAAGAAAATCACCCTGGTAAAGCACTTAGGTGGCCTAGCTAATGCCACTTTTATCCTCATCCTTAATTATCATGGGAATTAAAAATGGACTAGGAGTTAGGGAGGCCTGAGCAGAATCATAGTAACCATCTCAGAGAGTCGGTTCTGACCACGAAACTGTGAAAAACAGGAAGCATTTAGCATAGCACTTGGCACAGAGTACTGTCACCGTCATCATTTTTAGATATGATATTAAAATTAGTACATATTAATGACAAGTAATTAATGTCATCAACATAATAGGTATATGCAATAATACATATTTTATTGTTAAATACGATACTTCAACAAGATATTTGTTGTTTTCTCCCTAATCACAAAAGTAATAGCAAATTTAGTTGACTGCTGTCCTGTCCTTAGCGTTATGGACGGTTTTCCGTTTTTCGCTTTGATAATAACCTGAAGTGGGCTGCCTTTTTGGGTCCTCATACGGTTTTTTTGTTTGTTTTTTTGAGACGGAGTCTCATTCTGTCGCCCAGGCTGCAGTACAGTGGCGTAATCTCGGCTCACTGCAACCTCTGTCTCCTGGGCTCAAGCTATGCTCCTGCCTCCACCTCCTGAGTAGCTGGGATTACAGGTACAGGCCATCGTGCCCAGCTAATTTTTGTAATTTTAGTAGAGACGGAGTTTCACCGTGTTGGCCAGGCTGGTCTCAAATTCCTGACCTCAGGTGATCCACCCACCTTGGCCTCCCAAAGTGCTGGGATTACAGGTGTGAGCCACCGCACCAGGCCATGGGTCCTCATATGTTCTAAGGGCAAAGCCATGCCTCCTAAGCCCCAACCAGTGTCCCTCTCACTGCACCGATCCATCCGTTTTCTCCCCCTGCAGATTTGTTTCGAGGGGCAGTGCAGGAACACCTCCTTCTTTGAAACCGAAGGCTGCGGGAAGAAGTGCAATGGCCATGGGGTGCGTGCTGGGTTCTGGCTTCTCTGTATCATGGGGGCGTCATGGGGGCAGGCCCTGTGGGTGGCTGACGCTCTCAGGGGTGCTGATGCCTCTGCTCTTTCTTCGCTCCAGGTCTGTAACAACAACCAGAACTGCCACTGCCTGCCGGGCTGGGCCCCACCCTTCTGCAACACACCAGGTCACGGGGGCAGCATTGACAGTGGGCCCATGCCCCCTGAGAGTGAGTGCCAGCCTGCTGGGGCCACTGCCTGCTTTTGTGAGAAGAGCAGGTGTCAGGGGCAGGTGGCAGGCCGCAGAGCATCCACATTGAGTCAGCTTCATTGTCCCAATTTTGTAGAGAGGAAATCACAATACAGAGAAACCAAGAGAAGAGCGACCACCCATAGTGTGGTGTGGGGACATGGCTCAGTCTCTCTTTGCCCATCCTTTCTACCGAGGAGGGGGAGCCTGCTTAGTGGAGTGGGAGTAAGAGAGACTGTAGGTCATTGAATGTTCCCGTCCTTTTTAGGGGCACAGTGACTATTTCTTTTTGGGCATTTAAAAATAATCATGAACCTGGGACACACAGTGGTTTAGATTTCCTCCAATGGACACAAGTTAAAATGGGGAACCAGACACTCAGCAAAGTTTTATAGTATTTTAGTGGCTCTCTCAAGAATTCTAGCACTGTGGTTTCTAAAGCTTTCTTTAAAAAAAATAGCTTTTTAAAAAAAGCATCAAAATCTTTCAAGGAAGAAACCCCAATATGTAAAACTGATAAAAGGAGTGTTTTGTTAGTACAAATATATTCTGTATATTTACATTAACCACTTGAGAGAATATTGGAATAGTTTTGATGAAACCAAATATAAAGTTACAGATTATGGGTAAGAGTTCTATTTTTAAATCAGTCTGAGTCTTTTAGTTTTTTTGTTTTTTGGTTTTGAGATGGAGTCTTGCTTCTGTTGCCCAGGCTGGAGTGCAGTGGTGTGATCTCGATTCACTGCAACCTCCGCCTCCCGGGTTCAAGCAATTCTCCTGCCTCAGCCTCCCAAGTAGCTGGGACTACATGTGCCTGCCACCACGTCTGGCTAATTTTTGTATTTTTAGTAGAGACAGGATTTTACCATGTTGGCCAGGCTGGTCTCGAACTCCTGACCTCAAGTGATCCACCCACGTTAGCCACCCAAAGTACTGAGTTTACAGGCATGAGCCACCACACCTGGCCAAGTCTTTTTGCATTTTGTGTTGGTTCCTTTGTGTCCAGGAAAATCATGATTCAGGCCAAAAACTAGCAGTAAATTGTACAGAGCTTGAACCGCTTGCTTGAAAAGGGACTGTCTTCAATTAAGCGCAAGTGGCCATAGAGGCTTTGTACTGTAGAGTCTGTGCAAAGCAAGTTGATTTGGCTCTCTGAGCTACCATTAGTGGTTTCCCAGTGGTATATTATGTGTGTGTGTGTGGTTTTTTTTATTTTGAGATGGAGTCTCGCTCTGTTGTCCAGGCTGGAGTGCAGTGGCACGATCTTGCCTCACTGCAACCTCTGCCTCCCAGGTTCAAGTGATTTTCCTGCCTCAGCCTCCCAAGTAGCTGAGACCTGGTACCACCACACCCAGCTAATTTTTGTATTTTTAGTGGAGCTGGGGGTTTCACCATGTTGGCCAGGATGGTCTTGATCTCTTGACCTCGTGATCTGCCTGCCTCGGCCTCCCAAAGTGCTGGGACTACAGGCGTGAGCCACTGCATTCAGACCATAATGTGTGCTTTTAATTATAGTTTGTAAGTTGAAATAAGTAATACAAATTAAATGCAAATCAAATGCCTGAAGAAGAAGCAGGGATACCTATTTTGAAATCTGCTATAACCCAGGCAGCTCCTAAATCTCCCACTTGCGTTCTGTTTCTGGAAGGTGTGGGTCCTGTCGTGGCTGGAGTGCTGGTGGCCATCTTCGTGCTGGTGGTCCTCCTGCTGCTATACTACTGCTGCAGACAGAACAAGAATCTAGGCCAACTCAAGCCCTCAGCTCTGCCTTCCAAGCTAAGGCAGCAGTTCAGGTATGACAGGGTTCCGTGGAGGACTCAAGGTCAATTTATGGGTCACAAAGGTCTCCATAAGTGAAACTTAGCAGAAGTGTTGGTGATAGTGGGCCTAATTCAGGGAAGACAAATGCAGGGTACACACTGCCCTCTCCCCTGCTGTGACTGTGGCAGGCATTACTAGTTGATATTACTGTAAGTACTCTCTACTGATTCTGGTCATCACTCCTGAGTCCTTCTCAGCAGAATATCCCCAACCAATTCAATCTAAAATGTAAAATAAAATCTGTTTGCCACCCTTTATCTAACTGATTTGTTCCCAATTTTATTTAATTATTTATTTATTTTGAGTAGAAGTTTTGCTCTTGTTGCCCAGGCTGGAGTATAGTGGCGTGATCTCAGCTCACTGCAACCTCCGCCTCTTGGGTTCAAGTGATTCTCCTGACTTAGCCTCCCGAGTAGCTGGGACTACAGGTGTGTGCCACCACACTCAGCTAATTTTTTGTATTTTTAGTAGAGACGGCGTTTCACCATGTTGGCCAGACTGGTCTCAAACTCCTGACCTCAGGTGATCCACCCCCCTCAGCATCCCAAAGTGCTGGGATTACAGACATGAGCCGCCGCACCCAGCCCCCTCTTTGTCTTTTTAACCACTGTTACTTTAAAGTTTGTTCCGTCTAATACAAGAATAGCTACCCTTGTTTGCTTTTGGTGTCCATTTGAAAAGCGATTTATTATTTTGAATATGGAAGATGTACAGTCTCTGTGCGTCTTTACATTTAACACATTAAATAACACTTGTTCTGGGGGGGCGGATTTTAAGTCCCAGGTCTTTCTGGCTCTATGCCTGATGGGGACTGGTTGATGGCTCATGATACCCTTGTGTCTCCTCAGAGGGGAACGGTCTTAAAGAGTGAAGAGAAGGTACTGAGGAAGCTCTGTTTTGTATAAGGCCAACTCTGTTTCCTCGAGAGTTCTCTATTGGCCACACGTTTTTCTACTTAGGAAGATGGGGTTTGTGAAGACCAATCCCGTGCCCTCCAGAGCAGGCTCGGGGAAGGTTTAGCTGCTTGCTGGCCGTCCTTGGGTAAAAGGGAACTCAGGCACTGTCCCCCGCTGAACGCCCGCCCCTTCCTTCTCCTCTCCCATTTCTTGTTTCTAGTTGTCCCTTCAGGGTTTCTCAGAACAGCGGGACTGGTCATGCCAACCCAACTTTCAAGCTGCAGACTCCCCAGGGCAAGCGAAAGGTAGGCGCTTTGCACCACTGAACTTTGCTGCTTTTCCTTTATCCCTCGGGGCCATGCTGGATTTTTCCAAGAGCCTCTGCGAGCCCATGGGATTGGTAGTAAAAGCCCTTTTATTGGCTTGAGAGACGTCATTTGATTCTGACATCCCCTAATGACTTTAAAGGTTGCAACTAACATCTGAGATCCTGGGGTTTTAATAGATTGGTGTGTCTGTTCTCCCTTTGGGCTTTGGTTTCTCTCAAGCAGACACACAGTGGCAGCCCTGGGTGATTTCTTGTCTCAGTGGTTCCTTGACTTGTACATACAGGTGATCAACACCCCTGAAATCCTGCGGAAGCCCTCCCAGCCTCCTCCCCGGCCCCCTCCAGATTATCTGCGTGGTGGGTCCCCACCTGCGCTACTGCCAGCACACCTGAGCAGAGCTGCTAGGAACTCCCCAGGGCCCGCATCTCAAATAGGGAGGACGGAGTCATCCAGGAGGCCTCCCCCAAGCCGGCCAGTTCCCCCTGCACCCAGTTCCATTCTTTCCCAGGTAAGTGCATTGTCAGCAACCAGGGACTGGGAACATTGCTTTTAAGGCCAGTTTCCTTTTATTTTTAAAGCTTAAGCATTTATTATAAATTTAGATTCATAATAAATACCAAATTTTAAAGTGTAATGTTTCAATGCTGGTTGCATGGGGATTTTTCTATATCTATTACAGTTTTGGGGGGGTTTTGGGGATTTTTTTTTTTTTCTGAGACAAGGTCTCGCTCTTTTGCCAGGCTGGAGTGCAGTGGTGCGATCTCGGCTCACTGCAGCCTCCGCCTCCCAGGTTTAAGTGATTATCCTGCCTCAGCCTCCTGAGTAGCTGGGATTACAGGCACGCACCACCGTGCCCAGCTAATTTTTGAATTTTTAGTAGAGACAGGGTTTCACCATGTTGGCCAGGTTGGTTTCAGTCTCTTGACCTCATGATCTGTCTGCCTTGGCCTCCCAAAATGCTGAGATTACAGGTGTGAACCACCGTGGCTGGCCTTTTTTTTTTTTTTTTAAATACTTTAAGTTCTGGGGTACCTGTGCAGAATGTGCAGGTTTGTTACATAGGTATACACGTGCCATGGTGGTTTGCTGCATCCGTCACGCCATCATCTACATTAGCTATTTCTCCTAATGCTTTCCCTCCCCTCGTCCCTCATGCCCCAACAGGCCCCAATGTATAATGTTCCCCTCCTTGTGGTCATGTGTTCTCATTGTTCAGCTCTCACTTGTGAGTGAGAACATGCAGGGTTTGGTTTTCTGTTCTTGTGTTAGTTTGCTGAGAATAATGGTTTCCAGCTTCATCCGTGTTCCTGCAAAGGACATGAACTCATCCTTTTTTTATGGCTGCATAGTATTCTATGGTATATGTGTGCTACATTTATCTAGTCTATCATTGATGGGCATTTGGGTTGGTTCCAGGTCTTCATTATTGTGAACGGTGCCACAATAAGCATGTGTCTTTAGAGTAGAATGATTTATAATCTTAAGCCTGGTTTCAGTGGGTAATGGCAAAGGTGGGGAAGACGAAACTTGTGGGGTCATGAGCTGACTGCCTTTTCTGCAGTTCAGTCAATATGGAGGCACGCAATGAACATGGGGAAATAGATGCTCTAGACAGCTCCTAAACCACGTAGTATTTTCTTCCGGTTGGCCTATTTTATGACAAGCCACTACCCGCCTTCCACCCCAGATTAACATCAGTCAGTTCCTCACGCTGATCTGCCTGCTGGGTCTTTGCAAACGCAGCTTGTTCTGCCTGCGACACTCCTTCTGCCCTTTGCCTGGCCAGCTCCTGCATCCTCAGGTCTGCTCCTAGATGTCACTTCTCCCAGGAAGCCTGCTCTGACTCCTCAAGTCTGAGGCTGATGGGACTGTACTTCAGTCATCATAGTACTCTTCCCACCATATTGTCCCTATTGGTACCTTCTGCTGGTTGGAAAGTCTTACTGAGGGATGTACCCTGATGCCTTGCCCACCCCAAGGGGCAGGAGCCTCTGGGAGGTGAGAGTGGGGTCTAGACTCTCCGCCCCCACCACTGGTGCTCATGGAAGCAGGGCCTGCCCAGCAGCCTGTTCCTACTGCATGTGTGTGCTCTGATGGCACGGACCACACCTGCAGGAGAGCCCCCAGTGCAAACACAGGTGTTTCCTGGGTGGTGTTTCCAGTGCAGACATGGGTGTTTTCCGGGTGGGGTGCCTTCCAGAACTGGCTTGTGTGTTTTGGGTGTGACCCCTCAACTGAAACTGCTTTACATGGGTGTGGTCCAGAGGGCTCCCTGGGACCCGAGCTGTCTCTGACCCTAAGGACTCAGGTTGGCTGCAGGCTTTGGAGGGTCCTTGGGATGTGGGGCGATGGTACAGTTTTTGGCAGAGCTGAGGGCATCCTTCTGTTTCTCTGCTGTGAAACCGCTGCTCTCCCCTTCCTTTCATGTGGGGCAGAGGTAGGATGGAAAAATCCATGCAGGAAGAGAGAGGGAAGGAGGGAAGAAAGGAAAAAAAACGAGGGGGAGGAGAGGAGAGAGAGAGGAGGTGGAGAGTATACTTGGGTGCTGGGGCTGCTACAACAGAGTACTGCACACTGCGTGGCTTCAGAACAGACACTTATTTTCTCACAGTTCTAGAGGCTAGGAGTCCAAGGTCAAGGTGCTGGCGGAGTTGACTTCTGAAGCCTCTCTCCATGGCTTGCAGTGGGCCACTACGTTATCACATGGCCTTTCCTGTGCGTTCCTGCGTCCTTGGTCTCTGAATGTCCAACTCTCCTTATGAGAACACCAGCTTGGATTAAGACCCATCCTAGTGGCCTCATTCTAGCCTAATCACCTTTTTAAAGACCTTATATCTAAATGCAGCCATAGTCTGAGGTTCTTGGGGTTAGGGCTGCAACATAAGATTTTTTTTTACCAAATGATGAGTGCATAGGTCAGTCCGTAACAGAGAGATGAAAGAAATGGAGAAAGGAGTTTAGAGACTTCCGGGAGTGTAGAGACTTGGAGTCTAGAGACTTGGGGGAGTCTAGAGATTAGGGGAGTGCAGAGACTTGGGGGAGTGCAGAGATTTGGGGGAGTCTAGAGACTTGGGGAGTCTAGAGACTTGGAGTCTAGAGACTTGGGGGAGTCTAGAGACTTGGTGGAGTGCAGAGACTTGGGGGAGTCTAGAGATTAGGGGAGTGCAGAGACTTGGGGGAGTCTAGAGACCTGAGGGAGTACAGGGACTTGGGGGAGCCTAGAGACTTGGAGTGTAGAGACTTGAGGGAGTGCAGAGACTTGGAGTCTAGAGACTTGGGAGAGTCTCAAGTCTTGGGGGAGTGCAGAGACTTGAGGGAGTCTAGAGACTTGGGGAGTCTAGAGACTTGGGGGAGTCCAGAGACTTGGGGGAGTGCAGATACTTAGAGGAGTCTAGAGATTTGGGGGAGTCTAGAGACTTGAGGGAGTCTAGAGACTTAGAATGCAGAGACTTGGAGTCTAGAGACTTGGGGGAATCTAGAGATTTGGGGGAGTGTAGAGACTTGGGGGAGTCTAGAGATTAGGGGAGTGCAGAGACTTGGGGGAGTGCAGAGATTTGGGGGAGTCTAGAGACTTGGGGAAGTCTAGAGACTTGGGGGAGTGCAGAGACTTGAGGGAGTGCAGGGACTTGGGGGAGCCTAGAGACTTGGAGTGTAGAGACTTGAGGGAGTGCAGAGACTTGGAGTCTAGAGACTTGGGGGAGTCTCAAGTCTTGGAGTGCAGAGACTTGGGGGAGTCTAGAGACTTGGGGAGTCTAGAGACTTGAGGGAGTGCAGAGACTTGGGGGAGTCTAGAGACTTGGGGGAGTCTAGAGACTTGAGGGAGTACAGAGACTTGGAGTCTAGAGACTTGGGGGAGTCTCGAGTCTTGGGGGAGTGCAGAGACTTGGGGGAGTGCAGAGACTTGGGGGAGTCTAGAGACTTGGGGAGTCTAGAGATTTAGGGGAGTCTAGAGACTTGGAGTGCAGAGACTTGGGGAGTCTAGAGACTTGGGGAGTGCAGAGACTTGGGGAGTCTAGAGACTTGGGGAGTGCAGAGACTTGGGGGAGTGCAGAGACTTGGGTGAGTGCAGAGACTTGGGGAGTCTAGAGACTTGGGGGAGTGCAGAGACTTGGGGGAGTCTGGAGACTTGGGGAGTCTAGAGACTTGGGGGAATGCAGAGACTTGGGGGAGTGCAGAGACTTGGGGGAGTGCAGAAACTTGGGGGAGTCTAGAGACTTGGAGTGCAGAGACTTGGTGGAGTGCAGAGACTTGGGAGAGTCTAGAGACTTGGGGGAGTGCAGAGACTTGGGGGAGTGTAGAGACTTGGAGTCTAGAGACTTGGGGGAGTCTCGAGTCTTGGGGGAGTGCAGAGACTTGGGGGAGTCTAGAGACTTGGGGGAGTGCAGAGACTTGGGGGAGTGTAGAGATTTGGGGTGCTGGCAGAGGGAGGAGGGAGTGGATCGAGGGAGCAGTTCACTCAGACCATTGTTCCAAAAAGCCCACACTAGAGGTTTGTTCAGAGAAATGGGCGTGCCTCACCCTGTCACCCCGAGGCGCCGAGCCCTAGGTTAGGAGAGCCCTAGGTCAGGAGGCATCAGGGACAGCGGGGACCTAGCTGTATGGGGAGGTGGTGGAGGTTGCACATGCCCTGTGTCTGTGCCCTTGCAGCTGCTGGCAGGAGTCCCAGGTATAGGAAGCTACCCAGCCAGTGGCAGGTGCCCCAAAACACAGCTCCCAAGCACAGCTTCTTCTGGGTCCCAGGGTCCAGGTGGGGGTCTCTCTAGGAGCAAACAGTGGGAGGCAGCTGCTCTGAGTGGGAGCTCCTGTGATGAGATTGGGCTGCCACCTCCCTCCTCACAGCCATTCAAAGAAGGGAGTTGTGTGGCCCTGGTTTCTCTTGGAGGTTGCCAGCCCTCACAGGATTGAAGGGACTTGCCTGACATTGCACAGTTGTTAGTGGAGAAGCGAGGACTTGAACCCAGTTCTCACCCAGCTGGATCAGACAGCCTCCTGCCCTGGGGCCCACTCACAGTCTCGAGTCTGCCATCAAAGATCCCCCACCTCCTGCTGGGGGACATGGATCCCCTGGAGAAGTGATGGATGAAACCTCGTCACTTCCTCAGTTCTTTTATTGTAAACCAGCGTGTGCACTTCCACTCTGGGCCAGGCGATGATGGGGAAAGCAGATGGCAGCTTTGCCTCCTGGAGCTCACATTCTGCTGGGATAGTGACTCCGGGATAGGTGTCACTGCAGCAGCGATAAGTGCTGTGAACAAGGGGCTCAGGGTGCTCAGAAGAGAGTAATGGGGATTCAACTTAGTCTGGGAAATCCAGGAAGGTTTCCCTGAGGAGATGACATTTGAGCTGAGACATGAAGGAGGAACAGGACTTAACCAGGCTGTGAGGGCAAGTGACGAAAGAGCTTTCCTGGTTCCGGGACCCGCTACTAGGGAGGCTCTGTAATGGGAGAGGGTCCTGTGGGTTGAAGGAACTTAAAGATTCATGTGCTTGGAGCCCAAGGAGCTATGAGATGAGGCTGAAGGGCCAGGAGGAGCCACAGTATGCTCAAGCCACACAGCCTTGGTCAGGACTTTGGTCTGCACGCCATAGGAAGGGGACAGTGGTGACATGATGCGATTCTCTGTTTACCAGGATTGATCGCTCTTCGGGATGCCTTTAGGCAGGAGGGAGGTGTAGCTCCCGCAAGGAGCTTCTGAAGCTGTTAATCTACTGTTTGACCTGTGCGGGAATTACTTAGTGTATTTGCCCAGACACCAGCCCCTCAGTGGCCCATTTGCACAGCTCCCTTGGGAGCACAGCCTTTCCCAGTTGCAACCTGACATTTGCACCCAGCTGTCACCTGCCCCAGAAGGTCTCTGTCCTGGCTTCCAGCAACCACTGCAACTTGGCAGCTATTCTGGGCTGGGGAAGGTGGGTGGGATTGCATTGTCCTTCCAGGTGGAGCTGAGGAACATGGCTTTTTGGTCCTAAGAATTTGCTTCAGTTTCTAATGCTGTGAAGCGCTTGGGGGAGGTCTCAGCTTTTTGAGTCATTCCTGCCCTCTCTACATGCTTGCTTTTGTCCACTTTAATACGTGGTCATGACCCTCTTGAGAAGGGAGGCAAGTCAGAGAGAGCAGGCACTGGAACTCACATCTATGCAGTTAGCTTCCCCTTAAACCCCAACAGCTTAGGAGCCTGTGGGTGGTACGGTCATTCTTTGCCCCTTAAAATACAATGGATCGGCCAGGCTCGGTGCTCACGCCTGTAATCCCAGCACTTGGGAGGCCCAGGCGGGTGGATCACCTGAGGTCTGGAGTTTGAGACCAGCCTGACCAACATGGAGAAACCCTGTCTCTGCTATAAATATAAAATTAGCCAGGTGTGGTGGCAGATGCCAGTAATTCCAGCTACTTAGGAGGTTGAGGCAGAAGAATCCCTTGAACCCAGGAGGCGGAGGTTTCCGTGAGCCGTGATCATGCCATTGCACTCCAGCCTGGGCAACAAGAGCAAAACTGCCTCTCAAAAAACAAACAAACAAAAAACAATGGATCAACTAATATGTGTTGAGCACCTCCTGTATACTGGGCACTGTTCTGGAAGCCAAAGATGTGTTAGTGAACCAGATAGCCGGGACCCCATCCTGCTTCCACTCTAGAGGGGTTTGGGGAGACAGAAAGTAAAAATCAACTTAATAAGTAAATAAATTATGTTTGTTGGAAGGGGGTAAGTGACATGAAAAGTAAAGAAGAGGTATATTTGGATAAAAAGGTCAGGGAATGCCAGGGTGGGCGCTGTGTGATTTTAAATAAGGTAGTCTGGGCAAAGCCTTTTGGAAATGGTGAGAACGTGAAGGTAATAGTAACCCAGCAAGGACAGAATCCATTAAACGTGCCACACACATAGACAGCCAACATGCTCAAAATGTAACTGCTTCTTTGTTTACATTTTCTTGGCTGAGTGTGGTGTCTCACCCCTGTAATCCCAGCACCTTGGGAGGCCGAGGTGGGTGGATCATAAGGTCAAGAGATTGGGACAATCCTGGCCAACATGGTGAAACCCCGTCCCGACTAAAAATACAAAAATTAGGTCGGCATGGTGGCATGTGCCTGTGATCTCAGCTTCTTGGGAGGCTGAGGCAGGAGAATTGCTTGAACCGGGGAGTTGGACGTTACAGTGAGCCGAGATTGTGCCACTGCACTCCAGCCCGGGCAACAAGAGCAAAACTCATCTCAGAAAAAGAAAAAGAAATTTTCTTTTAATCTGAACAGGAAATACACATACATGCTCTTGTTAAAAAAACGCGGTGTTCACCTGCAGGACACCCCTTCCCTCTCGCACCCCGTCCCAGCGTAACCTCTTCTCAATTGTACCTGTATCTTTTCGTTTTTCTGTTCGTAGACATTCCTATTAGGTGGGGAACGTCGTGGCTTATTTTACATCAGCTGTCCTCTACAGCTTGTTTGTTCCTCCTGACAACTCTTGAACATCTCCCCATACCAGCTCCGCTCAGCCTACTTCATTCTTTTTAAGTGCCATATCGTCTGTCACTTTATAATTTTAGTTATTTTTCTGCTGATGAAATTCTGCTTATTTATAGTTTCTTTGCTGTTACAAACAGTGCTGCAAGGAACACCCTTGCAATTTCATTTTGGTGCACCTGTGGAAATAGTTCTCTAGCACAGGTCAGAAGAAGCAGAATTACTAGATCAGAGAATGGTTATTTGTAATTTTAATCGATACTGCCAGCTGCTCTCCTAGCTTCCTCTTGAGAATATAAACACATCATACACACAGTTTCTTTCCAAATGAGACCATACAGTTATAACTTTTTCCTATCTGATTTTGACTGGTAGGAAAGCAGGGATATTTTTCTTTCAAACAGGCTGGCCTTCAAGTAAGGCTTATTGCTTTCTCTCCAGGACTTCTCCAGGCCTCGACCGCCCCAGAAGGCGCTCCCAGCGAACCCAGTGCCAGGCCGCAGGGCCCTCCCCAGGCCAGGGGGTGCATCCACGCTGTGGCCCCCTGGTGCTAGCCCTCGGCAGTCCCAGCCTGTGGCAGCACCTGCCCCAAAGGTGAGTCCATGGGAAGCCTTCAAGGTGAAAGCTGGTACCAGAGGGCTCTCAGGGGGCAGGTGTGGAGTTCAGAAAACAAAGCAATTCATATTTCTTATGGTCTGTACTGAACTTCCAGAACAAAAGCCAGGGGCAAAACATTCACATTTCTTGGTGCCTGCTTGACTGTGGCATTTTGGCTTCATGTGAAAGGTGATGCTTAGGGTCCTGAGCTCTGGTAGCTTCAGCCCCACCCCTGCCCCTGACCTGCAGAGGGACCCTGAGCAAGTCCCTCTTGAGTCTGTTTCCCCATCTGTACAGAGGCGATGATGATCAGTAGTACCGGCCCCATCAGGTTGCTGTGACAAGCAAGGCAGTGCATTGGTAGAAGCCACCTGGCCTGCAGGAGGCTGTGCACATATGGCCCCTCCTCGTACCTCTTCTCTGTGGCTGACATAGTCTCAGTTTGCCAGTCCTGGGAGTTGGGTCAGAAAGGGCTAAGGTGAAGAAGGTGGCTGACCACCCTGTATTCCCACGAGGCATTGGGAAATCCATGGACTGTGCCGCTGCCTTAGCGGGGAAGGGAGGAGGAAGGGGTGACTGGTCAGCTTGAGATGGGGGCACCCACCACACCCCTCCCTGCAGGACTGACAGTCTGGGTGAGCAGACATACGGATAGACTTCCTCAAGAAGCCTTGTTCTCAGTGGCCGCTCCATCCCTCCTAAGCTGTTAAAATCGGGAGGACGGCTCCCCTTTCATCCCACTGATCTGCATCAAGCTGACGTCTTTCTCCTTCCCTTCTTTTCCTTTCCAGTTTCCAGAATACAGATCACAGAGGGCTGGAGGGATGATTAGCGCGAAAATCTAGACCTGTCCCGGGGGCTCCTCCCTTTTCTTGAGCTCTCTGGACACTGCAGAGGACCCATGGCCATGGAATCCGGAAGAAGCATGTCTGGCTGCCTCTGAGCTCCTCCCGCCCTCTTCTGGGAACCTCCACTTCTCCAAAAACCTTGTTGACTCAGTGCCTCTTCAGCTTCCTCGGAAGCCCAGAGGGACTATGATCCAATGGCTTCTAGGTGTTGTTTTGTGCAATATGCAGCCCCAGGTAGGGAGGGGAGGCCAGGAGGAGGGTGAATGGCAGCTTCTCCTCCAGACTCCCAGCCCTGAGGTGCTGATGGAGACAGTCAAGGCTGGCAAGCCCAGTGGGAAAAGTCCTGCCCAGCCCCTCAGGCCAACACTCTGCTTGTAGAAACATCCATCCACTCCTGGGGTGCAAGGCGTGCACGAGGGCTTCCCAGTGCTTTTGCCTTCCTCAGAGGTCCTGGGCTGGACAGAGGCTGGCATTGACTCCTTTTAGCTTTTAGGGGTTAAGGAAGGGTCAAGCCAGCCACTGCTGTGGCTCTGCCCAGGGCTTGGTTGAGGAAATGGCTTCTGGCTGTATGGCTGCATGCGAAAAGCCAAGTCCCCTCCCACCTCTCCCCAAACCCCTGCGTCCCCGTATTCACACAGGTCACTCTGATTCAGACAGGTACTATTCATAGGCAGTGTAGACAGCCGGAGGCGCACCGGACTTGGGCTTCCTCTGAGCCGTGATGCCAAAGGTTGCGACTCCCGACTCTGGAGAATTTTTGCCCTTTGTTTTCTCCGCCGCATTTGCTGGTTCCCCGTGTTTTTCTCTCTTCCTTCCCCTCATTCCCACTCTAATGTGTGGTAATTTGGTGAGCGAACCCTCAGCAGTCCTGACCTTCTGGTGACCAGGTGCTTGTGACCTACAAGTCGGAGTCCTCTCTCAGTCAGCCACTGGATTTCAGTATTGGCTCTCAGGAGTGTGACCAGAGTAGACTCGGGACATGGCCACTGGGGTCATATCGTTATTATTCATTATGTTTTGCAACCTCAGCACGGTGAGGGTCTTCCTACTCTCTGAGCTAAATCTCGGTGAGGTCCCCCCTTAGGGAGCTCAGCTATTTACAAAGTACACGTGAGGGAGCCAGCCTGCTCTGGTGGCTGCTCATTGACCTCGAGCAGGACTGTTGCCCTCTGAGCAGAGGCAGGCCCGTTTCTGACCAAGGGAGCTGCCCAAGATCCCTAGAGAAGGCAGCCAGCAACAGCTGTGCGGAACAGTCAGAGCTGGGGAGTGTCTCCCCGCAGCGGAACAGTCAGAGCTGGGGAGTGTCTCCCCCCGCTGGAACAGTCAAAGCTGGGGAGTATCTCCCCCCAGCGGAACAGTCAGAGCTGGGGAGTGTCTCCCCCCAGCGGAACAGTCAGAGCTGGGGAGTATCTCCCCCCCCCCCGCCGGAACAGTCAGAGCTGGGGAGTGTCTCCCCCCAGCGGAACAGTCAGAGCTGGGAAGTGTCTCCCCCCGCCGGAACAGTCAGAGCTGGGGAGTATCTCCCCCCAGCGGAACAGTCAGAGCTGGGGAGTGTCTCCCCCACCGGAACAGTCAGAGCTGGGGAGTGTCTCCCCCACCGGAACAGTCAGAGCTGGGGAGTGTCTNCAGTCAGAGCTGGGGAGTGTCTCCCCCACCGGAACAGTCAGAGCTGGGGAGTGTCTCCCCCACCGGAACAGTCAGAGCTGGGGAGTGTCTCCCCCCGCCGGAATAGTCAGAGCTGGGGAGTGTCCCCCCCCAGCCGGAATAGTCAGAGCTGGGGAGTGTCTCCCCCCGCCCTTCCCCACCCAGCCTTTTGTCATTAGCTTCCTTTTGTTCTCTCTGCTCACTGCCCTTATCTGACCCTGTGAGCAGGGGAGGGGCTCCACAGTGGCTCCTGTCCTCCCTGCAGCAGGGAAGGAGGGCTGTGTGGTGCTTTGCTAGTTTCGCAAAGCACCGGGAGATGTTTTCTGGGACACTGACTCCCACCCCCACAAAGGTGCTGAGTGGCTCTCCGGATAGGAGCTGGCCTGACTGTCCTCCTTTGAGGCTTTCCTGGGGCCTCCTCCCCTCCTGCAATGAGCAGTTGTTTGCTCTTGAAAACCTCACGGCAAGGCTGTGGCTGAGCTTCTGGTTCACCACCCCAGGACCTCCTTACAGTTCTCTACACATAATAGGTGCTTCCTGGACGTTGTTGGGTTTGGAAATAAGTGGAAAGTGTGGGATGTACCCTTGGGGAAAAGCCTGTGGTGGGTTTAGAAAGATCTCAGGAACACGAGTTTCTCTTCCCTCAGGGTGGCTATGAAATAGGTCCCCCATCTCTCTGCTGTGGGTCATCCTTGCTCCGGAGATCCATTCCCCACCTTTCCTGTGGGCCAATTAAGTCAGGAGACCACCTTTTATTTAAATGTGTCACCCTCTGCCTCAAGGCTTGGTTCCAGAAAGGTAAAGGTGAAAATATCCCCTTTCACCCCCCTGCCAAACAAACAAGCAACATCCTCAAAACCCAACCCCATTCCTCACATTGTTCCTGTGGCTTCTCCAGCCTTTCTCCCTCACATCAGGAGGTAGATGGCTCTGAAGTGACAGCACCACAGCCACAGTGACTGCATGAGCCGTTGGAACTGCAGTTCGTCCTCCCTGGAACCACAGCAGAAGGAGACCTGGGTTGCTGTTTTCTTGCTTTTTGTTTTGTTTTGTTTTATTTCAATATCACCTCCATCCCATCAAATTGTACTGTGAACTGGAGGATGGTGGAATGTTCTGGCATTTGATGGAGACTTTCGGCAACCAGTTCTGCTGATGCTTCGCTCCTAGCTCTGTTCAGGGAGGTGCCTGGGAGCAAGACTGGCCATTACGCATCTCCTTTTCTCTCCACTGCCCAGTGTGCTGTTTTGAGGTGTCAAATACAAATAAATCTGGGCTTAGGGAAGGCGAGACCTTATTCCAAAGCATGATTGCAGAAGAGGAAAGGGAATGCTGTAAAAGGAAGAGGAAGGGGCCTATGGGAGTCGTGAGAAGGCTCAGACCTACCGACAGCAGATCTGCAGGCATCTCAAAGCCCAGGCAGAAAAGGCCTTTTCTTTCACTGGAAAAAGTAAACATGACTAGAAAGAGCTGCGTTCAGGGAGCTGCGTTCAGGGAATCACTTTGTGCCCAGCCTTTTATTTTTTCAGGGGAGGGGCTGTTTGCTGGCTCAGGCTGAGGGTGGGCCAAAGTCCAGGGTCTGGTGGGAGGAGGGAAGCTTAACTCAAGTTTGGCTTAATGAGTTAGCAAGCTCTTCGTGCAGATGGAGATGTAGGTAAATCTCTTTAAAAACAAAATTAACCTGCCAATCTTACAACCCAATCATTTTTTTAAGGGCCTTAGAGCCATCTCTAAAACAAACCTCAGGAGGTTTCGTGCCGTCTCCCTGTCTTTGTGGAAGCTTTAGCCTGGGCATCTTGTCTGCTAGCCATAGGTTCCTTTCAGCCTTGCTGACTTCTCCCTATAAAAGTAAAGCCCTTTTCTGCCCCAGCTCTAAGATACTTGTAGATCTGAAGGTCTGAGACTTGCCGATTTTCTGGTTGAGTGTTCTTTGTATTGCCATAGTCCCTTCCCTCTGAAGCAATAGCCCCTCACCACCTCCTGCAATAACCCTTTCGAATGACGTCTCTCCCTGCGTACTTCCTCATTTGTTCTTGACAGAGGGTATGGACGACTTGCATTTTGAAAATTAGGGACCAGTTCCAAAGTCTGTGTTTATGTTAATCATGTGTAGAACAGCCCCGCTGGACACCCAAGAAAGCCACGGGAATGCCAGCTGGAAAGGTCCCCTTCCTGAGGGAAGCCTGCTAAGGAGAGGTTCTGCAGAATCCAAACCCAAATTTCCCAAGTCACACCCCCCACACCCCGCGTGTCCTCTCACACCGTCCACTGTGCGTTTGTATGTGTCTGGGATCCAGGGCAATGTGAATTTTCTTTTTATTTGGGAGATTGTTCACGGGAAACAGATCTTCTCTCTTGTCCACCTATTGTTTACAATATTTGTACATCTATGCAAAATACTTGAATGGGCCATGGTGCCTTTTTTCCTTATTTGTATTTAATTAAAAGGAATTGTTTGTCATTTGCAATGTTATCTGGTTTGGCAACTCTTTGCTGTGTGTTTGTTGCAATGTCCTACTGCTCAGATTAGATAGGATTCATGACGTGGACTCCAGAAAGAGCTCTCACAAAGACAGTCAGTTCAGCCTGTAAAGACATCATGGTGGACCCTGAGCCAAAGCAAAGCCTGTGTTTTCCTGTGGCCAGTAGAGGGGGCTGCTTGTCTTTGCACCTGGACGCAGGCTGCTCTAGTTTAATTAGGTCTTGGCTCATTAAAGGCCTGAATGATCCTGGGATTCTTCTATATGTTTCTTCTCATCCTATACAACTACGTATAGAAGACAGCTGAAACCCTCTGTTCACCTCCTCATCTTATTAAGGCAAGGGGTCATACTTTAAAGAGGGGAGACATTTGCCTGAGGTCTCTTGGGCTGGGTAGGTAGGCACAGCCAGGGATAGGGTTGGGTGTGCTTTCTGATTCCAGAACTCTGCGTGATAGCACAGCTCGTATTCATTAGTGCTTCCCAGTCCACAAAAGGATCCCACTCTCATTCTCTCATTGATCCCCACCTCAATGTTGAGGTTCTCTCAGAGAGATGGAGGATTAATAACTATGATCGAAAATAACAGTTACTGAGCATAATCGGCCCTCCATATCTGTGGGTTTCGAAGCCACAGATTCAACCAACAGCAGATTGAAATATTTGGGAAAAAAAGTACAACCATAAGAAGTAATGCAATTTTAAAATATAACAATGATTTACACAGCATTGACATTGTATTAGGTATTACAGAGATCATCTGGAGATGATTTAAAGTATATGGGAGGATGTACGTGGGTTATATGTAAATACCATACCATTTTACATAAGGGACTTGGCCATCCTTGGATGTTGTTATCCATGGGGGTCTTGGAATCAATGCCCTGCAGAAGCCACGAACAGCCGTATTTAACGTATGTGAGTCACTGCATGCTATTTACGAATAAGGATTATCTCATTTAATTTTCACAAAACCCCTGAGAAGGCTTCTTGCTCTCTGATTATACTTTAAAAAAAAAAAAAAAAGGAGTCTCTCTCTGTCACCCAGGCTGGGGTGCAGTGGGGCAATCTGGGCTCACTGCAACTTCCACCTCCCGGGCTCAAGCAATTCTCATGCCTCAGCCTCCCAAGCAGCTGGGACTATAGGTGCTTTCCACCACGCCTGTCTAATTTTTATATTTTTAGTAGAGAAGGGGTTTTGCCATGTTGGCCAAGTTGGTCTTGAACTCCTGACCTCAAGTGATCCATCCGCCTTGGCTTCCCAAAGTGCTGGGATTACAGGCATGAGCCACCACGCCCAGCCTGATTATACTTTTCTAATCTTTCATGGTTATGAAGTTGCCTATGGACCCTAAAGACATCTAAACACAAATGCTTTCACCACTAGCATGCCCACTCATGAAGTTGCTTTCCACTCACGCACCCCTGCCTGCTTAAGAGACCACTCTTTCCCGGCTTTCGGCCATTCTCTGGGGTTTTGCTTGTGTGTTGGTCACTAGCATAATGGAGAAAGTGTGGTTGGACAGACCCAGGTGAAGTCCTGACTCTGCTTGCTACTGAGTAGACAGGTGGGCCTGGATAAGTTCCACATTTCTGAGTCTCTTTTCACTATTCAAATGGCAATAGTATATCTACCTCCAAAGTGTCGTGATCATCAATGACGTTCTCTATGCGAAAACACCCAGTAGCGCCTGTCACAGGCTATGTGCTCAGAAACTGCTGACTACATCAGTTTACAGTTGCTTTGCTTGACATGCAGGGTTCTGTTATGATCTGCCTTGCATTGAGTGCTGGTCTCCAGGAGAGTTTGGGCAAGGAAGGACTGTGATGTTCCTTCATTCAATGCATATATTTTTTAGTGCCTACGATGTGCTAGGTACCGAGGATAAGCAGTAAATCAGAGCCAACTCTCATGAAGCTTATATCCAGATGGGGAGAGAGCACAGATCACAAGAAAATAAATGAATAAAGTAGAATCAGATTATGCACCAGGCACAGTGGCTCAGGCCTAAAATCCCAGCATTTTGGGAGGCCAAGGTGGGAAGATCACGTTAGGACAGGAGTTTGAGACCAGCCTGGGCAACACGGCAAGGCCTCATCTTTACCAAACCTGAGCCTGGAAGTTTGAAGGTGTAGTGAGCTAGGATCACACCACTGCACTCCAGCATAGGTGACAAAACCAGACCCTGTCTCAAAACACACACACACACAAAACATAGATTATGCAACTGGGGGCCAGGTTAGTCTTGGAGAGACACACTACGCCTGGTGGTTAAACCAGGTATCAGCTTTGCTCTTCTTGGCTGTGTGACCTTGGGCAATTATTTAACCTCTTTGAGTTCCTTTCCTCATCTATAAATGGGAATAAAAACATATCCAACTTGCGGATTTGTGAGGAGGTAAAGAGAGAATTCACAGGAAGCACCTACTGTGCCTGGTGCCTGGTAAGGGCTCAGGTGTTAACCGGGGGAGAGTTGTCTTCAACTGATTCTATTTCAAAAACTATCTTTCCCACTCTACCAAGGGTGTTAATTATCAAGGACATGGTAGGGGCTGTATTGGCAGCCACATTCATTCAGAGATTGGAGACTGTCCCTCCAGCACTAGAAAAACCAGTTTCATCACTCCATGCTCCAGGAAGGTCAAGACACAAGTATCGAGTAAATATAATCTGAAGTCTTTATTCGTGACCCTGCAGACCACACTCTCAGGGCCCTCAGTTTACTGCCATTCTCAAGATCCAACTTGTTGCATTGCTTTTCATTACAGACAGAAATCCACATTCATCAAAAACGGGATTTGAGGCTGAAGGGGCAGCGAGGCAGTCTGCCGGTCAGCCAAACCTTGGAGCTCCAAGGCCAGCAGGAATTTATCGGGGCTTGGCACACTTAGGGCAAAGGATACAAACACAGAGTGCAGGTAGAGTCACACGGGGGCAGCCCTGCACCAACTTGGGGGCTGAGAATCAAGGCTTCCCTCTTTCCGGTTATACCAGCCCGCTAACTTCCCTTTCTAATGTCCTTCTCCAACCCCCACACTCCTGCGGCTAGAAAGGAGATGGGAAGGGAAGGAATAGTAATTCTCTCTCCTCCATCTGCTCTGGTTTTGGGTACGCCTCTGGCCAAATGTGAGGGGACCAAAGGTACTCCCCGTAGCAGTGGTGTTGGAAAAGTCAGGGCATACTGATTCCCAGTGCGGGCAGCTCATCAGTGGAGTTGGGGGCTCGGTGGCAATCTGGTCAACAGCTAGAATGCACCCCATGCCAAGTCTGCGCCTCCACTTGGCCACTGAGATTTAGAGCTGATCCCACTATCCAAGCCTTTAAGGCTGCAGCCCAGAAATTACCCCTGAGCCCTTTTCTCCTAAGTTCCCAGATGAGAACTAGAGTCAACACAAAAGTTAGCCCCTAGGATCCAGAGAGCCTGGGCCTGCCTTCTGCCAAATCCCGACTTTGCTCCTCATCCCCTCCCCACCTCCCCAGATCACAGGTTTGTTGACTCCTTAAGGAAAAGAAAAGTGCATTCTGCGAAATTCTAGCTTGGCAGCCAGGCCCCTGTGAAGCAGTGAGTCTGCTGTTCTTTTTTTTGAGTAAGACAAAATGAAACACTGGGTTTGGCCACCAGAGTTTGGCTGTGGCTCTATTACTGTTGTTTTGTGTCCCGTCCTGTGATGACTATCTTTATGTCTCAGTGACTGACTCCTTAGGATGTAAGTAGAGAGGGAAGGGGTGAGGGTGGGAGGGACTAGGTGGATACCAAGGTGCTGACCGCCAGGCTGGAGTGCTCGGGGAATGAGCTGGTTGAAAATTTTCCCTGAGACATCAAGTGGCTTTCACAGTAAGAAGGTCAGCTGAGGTCTTGCTTCTGTTTCCAAAAAGGAAGTGGCAAGATCAACGGGGTATTTTACATTGGTTGTGTCCCTGTCAGCTCTGGATAGGGAGGTATGGCCAAATGCTCTCTGGGTCTCTGGGAACCAGCTCTGTTTCATTCTTGAGCTGGAAAAAATAATAATAACAATGGAGATTCCATCTCAGGAGGAGACTTGGTGTGAAGAAACTCCTAATGACCAATAAATATCTCAGGGAAGTCCTCGGACTGCGCTACATTCAATGGGTCAGATTCCGTCTTCTTCCCAACAACATAGAGATGGCACCAAAAGAATGAATGAGAAGGGAGGTCCAGGGGACCGGCAGGCACTGATGTAAACTTGAGTATTTGGTCACTGAGTCTGTTTCCAGGAAGTTCTGCCACTACCGCTATTTGGGTAGAGATTTTTCTCCTGGAAACAGTGATGAGGTATAAATGAACTTCTCAAGAAAAGAGAGCCCACTGGTAACAGTGGCACTGAAAGTAACCAGGTGGTTTTGAAATTCGGAGGTCAGGCTGTACCATCAGGCTCACCCTCTCACATATCCCAAGCTTCAAGAATGGATTGTAAACACTCTGGGTTTCTCTTCTGGCGATGGGGTGTTGGCGAGTTCTATATTGTCCACAAGGACATTCTTGTCTTCCAGTTTAATGACAGTGGGCTCCGGGGCAGGAGAAGGGGGTGGGTTTTTATGCATGTGGGGTAAGCTGGCGCAGCTGATGTCCAGGTCTTTGAAAGCATGCAGCATGAACACGCCCAGGATGATGGTGACAAAGCCCGAGAGAGTGCCCGCAATGTCCACAGCAGACATGCTGTACCACTCCTTGAAGAGGATGATGGACGAGGTAACGACCACCGTGGTGAAGAACACGTAGTAGATGGGGAACACCAGGGAGGTGTTGAAAATATCCAGTGCCCTGTTGAGGAAGTTGACCTGAGTGCTGAGAGACAGTGCCAGGATGAGGGACAAGATGTAGGGGAGCGGGTGCCGTACGACTGGCAGCCCCTGGAAGAAGTTCTTGATGGTGATGCCCAACCCCTTGACAGCAGCCACGGAGAAGGCCCCGATCACAGAGCAGATGATGATGTAGATGAGGATATTCCTTTGCCCGTAACGCGGGGCGAT